GGTTCCCTGTCTTTGGCAAGAATCTTTTGGCACTATACAATATTACATAACCATATATATATATATATATATATATATATATATATATTACATAAACTTTATTATGAAAGTCAACAAGGAAATAGAATAGTCAAATTAACACAAGATAAAAAACATTACATATAAATAAGATAAACATTGTTTTATATATACATGTACAAATGAAAGAAAAGATTGTCTTACACTGTTGTTGTTAAAACCAGAAGTTAGCACAAACTAGATTTGTCTGGTTCCCTGTCTTTGGCAAGAATCTTTTGGTACTATACAATATTACATATACATATATATATATATATATATATATATATATATATAACATAAACTTTATAATGAAAGTCAACAAGGAAATAGAATAGTCAAATTAACACAAGATAAAAAACATTACATATAAATAAGATAAACATTGTTTTATATATACATGTACAAATGAAAGAAAAGATTGTCTTAACTTCTGGTTTTAACAACAACAGTGTAAGACAAACTAGATTTGTCTGGTTCCCTGTCTTTGGCAAGAATCTTTTGGTACTATACAATATTACATATACATATATATATATATATATATATATATATATATATATATATATATAACATAAACTTTATAATGAAAGTCAACAAGGAAATAGAATAGTCAAATTAACACAAGATAAAAAACATTACATATAAATAAGATAAACATTGTTTTATATATGTACAAATGAAAGAAAAGATTGTCTTAACTTCTGGTTTTAACAACAACAGTGTAAGACAAACTAGATTTGTCTGGTTCCCTGTCTTTGGCAAGAATCTTTTGGTACTATACAATATTACATATACATATATATATATATATATATATAACATAAACTTTATAATGAAAGTCAACAAGGTAATAGAATAGTCAAATTAACACAAGATAAAAAACATTACATATAAATAAGATAAACATTGTTTTATATATGTACAAATGAAAGAAAAGATTGTCTTAACTTCTGGTTTTAACAACAACAGTGTAAGACAAACTAGATTTGTCTGGTTCCCTGTCTTTGGCAAGAATCTTTTGGTACTATACAATATTACATATACATATATAACATAAACTTTATAATGAAAGTCAACAAGGAAATAGAATAGTCAAATTAACACAAGATAAATAACATTATACAAGATAAATAACATAACACATGAATAAGATACACATTATTTTGATACAAAGTATGCTATATTCAAATGCAAGAAAGGAGTATGTCTAAAACTGTTATTGGGGCAAAAGTTAGCACAGGTGGTAGACGAGTCTGGTTACCCAGATTTATATTTGTCAATATAGTGAACTACTTGCCATGCACTATCCTTACATTTATATTTTTTAAATTTAGCCCAATTAAGATGAGTTTACATTTGATTTAAGGTAATTTAATGCCATTGAATATGTGTTCCTTTAATTCCTTACATGTTAATTTCTTACTTTAGCTCAAAGATCATGTTGATTGTTTTGTGGCAATACGTGTAAATATTATCAAATTTGTCAGTCTTGTTAGAAAGTTTACTAACTGCTGCCTCTCATTTATGTAAATATTCATGATATGAAGATGAGCTAACATTTGATTTATGGTAAAAATTTAATGCCATTGAATATGTGTTTCTTTAATTCCTTACATGTTAAATTTCTTACTTTAGCTCAAAGATCATGTTGATTGTTGTGTGGCAATACGTGTAAATATTATCAAATTTGTCAGTCTTGTTAGAAAGTTTACTAACTAGCTGCCTCATTCATGATATGTTGTTTTATTATCTGGAAGGACGGAGTAGATTTTTGTATTCAAGAAAAATATTATTTTTGTTTAGTCAAAATTATAAAGCCTCATTTCGTCTCTTAATGAAACCAAACAAAACATGTATAAAGACAGTTTTATTCTACAGTTCTTTTTTTTTTTTTTTTTTTTTTTTTTTTTTGGGGGGGGGGGGGGGGTTAGGTGTCGGGGAGGGGGTGTTTTTTGGGGGGAGAGGATGTTTATTTTGGGGGAGTGTTTTTTTTGGGGGGGGGAAGAGGGGTTTTTTTTTGGGGGGGGGGGAGGGGGTGTTTTTTGTGCATATTTTGCATATTTTTTTTGCATATTTTTTATTATCATGTTCTCATATGTATAGTATTACCATTATCATATTATTATTAATATGTTTTGCTCTCAGTCCTCGTTTATTATATTCAAGATTTCTTTTTCTGAAGTTTTATGATATTCATTTGTACATGTATTCTAATATGTTATTCAAACATTTATTTAATCCAAAAAAGAAAAATAAATACGTGTTTATATTCCTGGATTTATCTGGGATCCTACTGTATAATGTACAGTATTTCCTATGTCCTTGTATAATTATTTCAATTCATCTCATTTATGAAATCTTATTCTATGTCATCATAAACAGCATTATGACTGTTTCAATTTATCTTATTTGTGAATCTTATTTATGTCATGGTAAAACTCACTCCAGCCTCAACAGTGATATTGTAAAGCAATATTTACAAACAGCATCATAGCTGTTTCAATTCATCTCATTTATGAAATCTCATTTATGTCATCTTATTTATGTCATCATGGTAAAATTCACTTCAGCCTCAACAATGATATTTTAAAGCAATGTTTATAAACAGCATTATAACTTTTGTAATACAATACCTTATTTTGAAAACAGGGAAAATCACAATTTATGAAGTCTACTAAATGTAATATATTTGTCTGCCTTCTACTGATATACATGTACTCATAAATAGATCTAGTGATATAGTGTTAGGGAAAACTATTGCATTATCGATGTACTCAAAGGTTACATTTTTTTAATGTTTTCATGACAGAAAAAGTGCAAGAGTTTACTATTAGCCTGATGAGGAGATCGATGTTTGAATAATTAAAGATCAATGTGATAGAACATAAAACTTACTTCTTCACATCACAGAATATAGCTATGGGTTTGTAAAGGAAAATTACTTACTCAAATTTTGCCTAGAAGATGAAAATTTGGACTGCCTGGTATACTTTGCCATCATTCAAACTGGTCATGTCTCAGGGCCTGCCTATTATTTAATGCAAGATGGTGACTCGTTTCAACATCTGAGCTGTACACCTTCCTTTTGAGAACAATAATAAAAGGAATGATTTTAAAAGCACAAGATCTGTCTTGGTGGAAAAGTCAGAAGACAGAAAATCAAATGGTCTAAGCCAGAATCAAGTGCTTCATGATCACTGTGTATACTTTTTAATGGGATTTAATGAGTAACACAATGTAGCTTGTGTGGGTCCAACTTCGTGGTGGATATATGGACCACTCCGTGGCAAAATGGACCCCACTGATATGATCATGTAGCAATAACTTATGTGTGGGACCAACTGCGTGGTGGATATATGGACCACTCCGTAGTAAAACGGATCCCATTGCATAGTGCCAGTACACGCAACTATACCAAACTATCCCAAAGATGGTTTTAATCATGGAGTAATTAATGCACATGTGAATAACTGAGCTGTTATGGCCAGATTTTCAGCATGTAACGAGATATATACACCGTATCCCTATATTATGTAATAAAAGGGATTTTTCTAGCTCTTCAGAATTTTGCACAAAGTTAACCAGGAACAAGCCCAAATTCTAGTCTTAAACTCCTAAGCATGCATATAGTCTATAAGAGATTGCAATCTCAGTGTTATCAATTTAGGAGCATTATAAATATATTCGGATATACCTTCACAGCATCATATACCTTCTCTATATCACTTGATCAACGCCTATGAGTATGGAGTATAGCAATTGAAGAAATAATCATTGTGATAATAATTCTTTTTCTCAAAGTAGACATGTTAGCAGATAATAGATCAACTGTTTTAGGTTTTGTTTACATCGTACTAAATTCATAAACATTATTTTGCAAAAAAATCATCTATTTACCCGAGGTGCAACATTTTCTTTCCCTCTGTCGAGTTTCCTCTTTTTTTATTTGGTATCTTTCTCCGAGTGTTTGGTTATCATGATGTATGTATCAAATTGTTAAATTATTTTATTGATGGTATATACAAAATTACCAAATGATGATTGTTTTTATGATTTCTGTATAGAATTTTGCTAAAATTCGTTAAATGCATTTACATGTATTAATTTTGTTATTCTGTTCTACTGATGACATATATTATGTAATTGTTATGCATGTAATGTAATTGATTGATTCTATGATTATATTCATTTTTTTTTTGCCAGTGCAGATTAGTTTTCTGTTTTTGTTGGTGTTTTCTGTTTTGCGGATAATACTGAAAATATCAAAGCATAGGGGTGTACATATTATAAATATATTCAGATAAACCTTCTCTATATCACTTGATCAACGCCTATGAATATAGAGTATAGCAATTGAGGAAAAAATCATTGTGATAAGAACATTTTTTCTCAAAATAGACATGTTAGCAGATAATAGATCAACTGGTCTAGATTTTGTTAATTACATCGTACTAAATTCATAAACATTATTTTGCAAAAAAATCATCTATTTACCCGAGGTGCAACATTTTCTTTCCCTCTGTCGAGTTTCCTCTTTTTTTATTTGGTATCTTTCTCCGAGTGTTTGGTTATCATGATGTATGTATCAAATTGTTAAATTATTATATTGATGGTATATACAAAAAATTACCAAATGATGATTGTTTTTATGATTTCTGTATAGAATTTTGCTAAAACTCGTTAAAGGCATTTACATGTATTTTGTTATTCTGCTATACTGATGGCATCTATTATGTCATCATTTATGCATGTATTATAATACTGATTCTATTATTATATATATATAAATATATAAATATGTAAATATATAAATATATAAATATATAAATATATAAATATATAAATATATAAATATATAAATATATAAATATATAAATATATAAATATATAAATATATATATATATATACATTCTTTTTGCCAGTGCAGATTAGTTTTCTGTTTTGTTGGTGTTTTGTGTTTTGCGGATAATACTGAGAATATCTACTGTGTTATCAATTTAGGAGCATATTGGTGTACATATTATAAATATATTCGGATATACCTTCACAGCATCATATACCTTCTCTATATCACTTGATCAACGCCTATGAGTATGGAGTATAGCAATTGAAGAAATAATCATTGTGATAATAATACTTTTTCTCAAAGTAGACATGTTAGCAGATAATAGATCAACTGTTTTAGGTTTTGTTTACATCGTACTAAATTCATAAACATTATTTTGCAAAAAAATCATCTATTTACCCGAGGTGCAACATTTTCTTTCCCTCTGTCGAGTTTCCTCTTTTTTTATTTGGTATCTTTCTCCGAGTGTTTGGTTATCATGATGTATGTATCAAATTGTTAAATTATTTTATTGATGGTATATACAAAATTACCAAATGATGATTGTTTTTATGATTTCTGTATAGAATTTTGCTAAAATTCGTTAAATGCATTTACATGTATTAATTTTGTTATTCTGTTCTACTGATGACATATATTATGTAATTGTTATGCATGTAATGTAATTGATTGATTCTATGATTATATTCATTTTTTTTTTGCCAGTGCATGATTAGATTAGTTTTCTGTTTTTGTTGGTGTTTTGCGGATATAATACTGAAAATATCAAAGCATAGGGGTGTACATATTATAAATATATTCGGATATACCTTCTCTATATCACTTGATCAACGCCTATGAATATAGAGTATAGCAATTGAAGAAAAAAATCATTGTGATAAGAACATTTTTTCTCAAAATAGACATGTTAGCAGATAATAGATCAACTGGTCTAGATTTTGTTAATTACATCATACTAAATTCATAAACATTATTTTGCAAAAAAATCATCTATTTACCCTAGGTGCAACATTTTCTTTCCCTCTGTTGAGTTTCCTCTTTATTGAGTGTTCGTTTATCATGATGTATGTATCAAATTGTTAAATTATTTTATTGATGGTATATACAAAAAATTACCAAATGATGATTGTTTTTATGATTTCTGTATAGAATTTTGCTAAAACTCGTTAAAGGCATTTACATGTATTTTGTTATTCTGTTATACTGATGGCATCTATTATGTCATTAATGTATTATAATACTGATTCTATTATTATATATATATAAATATATAAATATATAAATATATAAATATATATATACATTCTTTTTGCCAGTGCAGATTAGTTTTCTGTTTTTGTTGGTGTTTTGTGTTTTGCGGATAATACTGAGAATATCTACTCACTATGAACATGACTGACAAAGAAAGCGGACAAAATATACAGTTCCTCAGTTAGACAAAGGAACATCCCTTCACTGCTATTATGTAAAAAGGTGAATATGCATGTGACACCTGTTCTACACATTTGTACATAATAGCAGTGAAGGGATGTTCCTTTGTCTACCTGAGGAACTGTATATTTTGTCCGCTTTCTTTGTCAGTCATATTCATAGTGACTGTACATGTGCGTTTAGCGCGGGTGTTTTGTTGATGTTCTTTTATCCATGAATCCTTGGTTTGAGTCTGACCTTATGAGATGTTTGGTTCATTACGAAAAGTTCTCGTTAAAACTATACCCCACCACTATAACACAGCAGTCAATGTAATCTGGTGGGGTGTCACTACCCCAGATTCGTTTCTCTCGTTAAAACTTTGTAATCTGGTGGGGTAGCAATACCCCAGTTTCGTTTCTCTCGTTAAAACTTTGAGAGAGCTATTACTATAACACAGGCACCAATGGGAATCTGGTGGGGTCTCAGTACCCCAATTTCATTTCTCTCGTTAAAAACTTGGACAGAGCCTCGAGGCTCTGAGTGAGAGATTAAGACATTGGATTGCAGCTGGACTCTTCATCATCTTACGTAATACTAGTGTAAACAAACTCCTACTGGGGCTCTGCCTGAAAGGAAATGAGAAGTAGGAAATAAGTATTTTACTTGTTTTAAGATATTTTCATGTCCTAAAGTCACTAATAATTTAGATGAAGACCAAAATGAAAGTTCGAACAAAGCAAAATGACCCATAATTGGCGATATAACAACAATTTTAACTCTGGCAGCGAACCCCTGCATGTGTCTCTTTCTCCCTTCTCCCTTCCTTTCCCCCTCTACCATGCTTATCTCTTTCTCTCTCAACTCATCAAGGTCTCGGTGGGGTGGATTACAGCGCTAGTGTTTACTTAGGGCTTATCACAATCTCAGCTCTAGTAGGGGTGAAAGTCAAATGGGGGTTTCAATTTTAAACGACGAGTTTTCGTCATGTGTTAAGAGCTGCTGACTGCGTGTTGGGATAGGGCGGGTCTAGGCAGGGTATAGGCAGAACAGCCAACTACAGCCTGTCGGAAGTGAAAATGAAATTGATGAATTCTATATCAAAGGAAAGCTTACAAGCCATAGATTACAAAATACCAATTATATGCTACTTAGTGCCTGTCAGACGAGTAACAGCTCTTTAAAAACTCGAAATCTAAACATTTGGATATCGGGAGTTGACCTAAAAACTAGTATCGAATTGATGACATGAATGAATGAATACAAAACAAAAATGCTACAAAGAAAAAATCGTGTGTGGAGTACGATTATTCACAATGACTTTACATTCATTAAGCACGACTCGTCGCATCAGCTATATAGGCGGATCACACACATAATTATTATGCCGTCACTGTAACTCCGGCAAATTTGACTCCCCTTCACCTGTAATTCGGAGAGGTGCAGAAAATAAGGATTTAATTTGCTGTTGTGCAATACTGAACAGGGGAATATTTTGTTCTTTCGGCTTTCCATTGATAAAAAGTTGTATTTTCATCGGATAGGGTCCTTAACGTACATTCATCTTCAAGCAAGGAAAGTTAAGTTAAATAAAGAGAGAGAATCAAGGACCGTTTCCACTACAGTGTGAGTCAAAAAAAGTTTACACCTAGAAAATTGCTAATTATTTTTAAGATCATCTATGAACAGTAAATTATTAGACATCTTATGAAAGAGTGTTTTATCCCAAATCATTTGGTATCATTTTTGTGTGGTATGTGTTCACGCTTGGATGAACAGGAGGCATTGTTTGCGAGAGTGCAAAAATCGACTTTAAATAATTTTAGTGTATGGTATATGTGTGCTCAGTGTGTATATACATACATGTGCTAAAGAACTTTCTGTGCTAAAATTTTGGAATGCAAAGATTTAGTCATGACTTAAGCTTAGAAAGGTTCAATATAATTTTTTTTTATAAATGTAATAGAGTACCGTTTCTCAAGCATATTTTGCCCTAGAGAAAAAGACTAATAGATTGTGAATGTTATTAACATATCTATTTTTACCTGTTCCTTCAAATGGATATTTTTTTCACCCAAAAAATATTTCCTTTAATGGTGTCACAAAGATTTGATTTACTTGAATTCAAAGTTTTAGTTTGTTCTCAATTTAGAAATGCTCTTTGAAAACAATGTTCGTCCATTTCGTCCATTTCCATTTGTGAGAAAAAAAAAACCATATGATGGAACAAAACAATGATTCCTGTAGCTAAATCCTGTGCCAGTACCCAATATCTATTGTGGTGATGTTATGATAATTGTTATGTAATGCTTAAAGTATTGGAAACACCCCAATTTCAAAAAATGAAATGGAAGCTCTTATTACCAATCATGTGAAAGAATATGTTTTGAATAATACACAATGATAAAAAATTTGCCGGGAAACCGCCTACTAATTGATATTTAGACCAAGAACCTAGATCCTGCCGAGTATCGTCGTAGAAGTATATTTGGTAAATTAGTTTATCTATTGATGTGTGAGAGATAAAAACGCATGTGTCGCACACATGTGTGTAGTCCCATATACTTCTTTCTGTGTACAGTGCTTGTAATTTTATGAAGACTGGGCCAAATTTCTTATCATTTTGATGATTCCAGAACCTTGCAGTACATGATCAGCCTTTTCTGATCGATTTCACAATATTTCTTTCACAATGCAAACGCATGACCATAACCGGTCTTTAACATTAAGGAAATAAATGCACAATATTGTATGTATGTGAAAATGTAATGTTCATGCACAAAATATGAATAAAAAACCCACATATTTATCAATTGCAATACTATTCACAAGTCATTTTCCTTTTGTTGTTGTATTTCTTTACAGCTTGATGGGGTGGGGATGGGGATTACAGTTATATTTTTGTATAAGGAACCTACTGTTCATTGTAAGTACCTTGAGCACCCTCTGGGTGGATATGTTGCACGTTATAAATGTCTTTATTATTACTATTATTTATATTTTGTATTATTATTATTTTATATAAATATATGTATAAAGGAGAAGCTCCCCGATGTATAATTACACATTCATTGGTAAGACTCTGGAAATACACATTTGTGCATTGATGTCTGATACCCATATAAGGATTAAGGATATGCCTGCTGAATGGGAATGTTGTAAAACAAAAAGAATTTCTTGTAGAAAAAGTTAAAGATTGATGAATGTTTCATGTCACAAAATATTTGGGTCACGTATCAATTTTTTGCAAAACCAAAAAGTTTATTACTGTAGCATACACCTGCCAACCTGAGACAAGAGAAATTAGGAGTAAATTTTTCTGGATGGACTACGAGGTCGCGAACCACCGAAGGATTGGGGTAGTAGCCCGTAGATTGGGGGGGGGGGGGGGGGGGGGTACACAGGACTTTAGGGTCTATTTTTTTTTTCCATGTCGCTGTGTATATCTTCTATGAGCGCGAGCGCGGATGTCGGCGTGATCTGATTATCAGTGCTGTGTTATGCTTTAGTCTTACATACATACATACATACATATTGGTATTTATTGAGCGCCTTTACATGAACATGCTCAAGGTGGTTTACATTTCAAAATACAAACATAATAGTTATATACTCTCCAAGTGCATTACACTTCAAACAAAAAAAAAAAAAATAAATAAAAAAAAAAAAAAAAAAAAATAAAAATTAAAAAAATCAAAAAAAAATCGGAGTTTTGAGGCATGCACTCGGAATTCGGAGTTGGTATGAAAAATGCGGAGGAACTCCGCCTAAATCGGGGTGGTTGGCAGGTATGCTGTAGGCAGTGGCTGTCATGAACATTTCAAGCAACAGCTGTAAAAAAAGAAGAAGTAAATACCATAATTCTTAGTTTCTTTGGGAAGTTGCCAAATAGTCTTCTTTTATTCTTCAAAAGCAAAAAACAACATACATGCAACATACAAAGAATAAATTCATCAATAAAGCTGTTTAAATCAAACATTTGTTCACCATAGAATATTCATCTTGTATTGTAATACATGTACAATATAAAAATATTTTGCTGTACAATTTAATTTGATTGATATACATGTATATAAATATCTGTTGGTCATCTATCGAGGCTAGTTTAATATACAAACATTTATTAGACTGGCATTTTGAATGCTACAAACAATTTTGCAATGTGTAGAATTCTAATGTGTATGACTTGATGCAAGGTACATGTACTGATTATTAAAAATTGCAAGGATTTCTGAGATCATTTCTCAGAAGTTTTAACAGGCTAACTGTACCTTGAGACTTGCTTGAACCTAACATTTAGTTCAAGCTATAAACAACCCTAACATTTAGTCGGCAAGCTTTTGTCCACTCCTGTGGACTTTCTCAAGCCAGGTGATTGCTCACAGTTTCTTGCTGTCAGTTGCCTCGACATCATCGAAGCGAAGATAAAACTGCCTAAAGTCTATCAAAGAGCGGCAGTTGGAATCCGCACAAGGTTTGAGACACTTTAAAGTCTTGAAATTTAGTGTAAATTAAATTCTAACCACCAGTATTAAAGTAGTCAAGCAAAACAAAATGTTGCAACTACACTTACACTTAAAATAATTGATTGTATCCAAAGTAGAATTAAAATAGGTTTGTCACATATTCTAGAATTGTTAACATATATATATACTTTCCTAAGTTACATGTATGAACATGCTTCAATGTTGTATTTAAGAAACAAAAAAGTTGCGGAAGCATGTAACCTTATACATTTACATGTTTTTGAATAATCGATTTGTGATAATTTATCATACAGTAATTTAAAACACCATGTGAAATCCAGGCATGAACTCATTTTGTTTTTACTTCAAATATTCCCCTGGCTGAGAAAATTTAAAAGTAGGGCTTTTAGGGTTACAATATTATTTTGAGTTCCTTGAGACATGAAATCATATCTCTGACTTATACTTGATCCAAATATGTAGACAAAAATGTATACAAGGAAATAATAAAACAATATGCAGTAAGCCAAAGAATAAGGTCAACATTTACAAAAGAACAAAAATCGAATTAATCTAGCAGATCTGTGCTCTCATAGATCAATGCACTCCATGTTCACAATGTTGGTATTGGAAATCCTATGGCACTTGAAATATCCAGTTTAAAGTTTAAAAATTTAATTTCTACTCATCTCTGCAGTGAAAACAAATGACTATAAATGAGGCATGAAACAGACGTTTATAAATTTTAATTTAAACTGTTTAGAAGAATTTCACTTTGTGTATTTTTGTCTTGGTTATGCTGTTACACATAAAAAAAGGCTGGCTTTGAATCGTGCCATTTTCAATATTACCACTGACGGCATGTACAAAGGTACGTTGGTGTTTATTTTGCAGGCAGGCAATTCTATACAACATGTTGTTTATAGAGTCCTGTGAATATCACATGTACACTGCACCATGCATGCATGGCCACTCCCAGGGTGACGCTTCCATACCTTTCCCTTATAATCAATACAGCACAATTACCTTTGGTTGTTCCTACTTTAATATACATTTTAAACATTGTCTGATTGCATATGAAAGATATAAAGGTCTATTTGCCAATGAATGAGATTTCTTGGTGCCTACATGTACATGAAGAGTCAGAGGGGATCGAGGCATTACATATCAATTTGAATAAGGCATGAAGATGTACTAATGTTGGCTGGCCAGATAAACTGTCTAGCACCACGCAACTAAGAACCTTCACTGTGTGAGCAAGGCCTTTGTACTGGCATCAGATACATAATGACATCATTTGATGGTTTTTACATGAACAGAAAAGGACAACTTTTATCACATTCACAAAGGCTTATCATTGAAATAGGGGATTCTATGTACATTCAAACCTGCTTTAGGGACTACCTGTCTACAAAGACCACATGTTTTGTTTCCCTTGAAAATGGTTTCTCATTGAAACATGTACTAAAGGAACCTGTCTACAAAGACCACTTTTTGTGTTTCTCTTGGGCGGTCGTTTTATAGACGGGTTCAGCTGTATATTAACCTTCAAATTTTTGCCCTCACAATGAATTCTGAAAGAGTTATGATGCACAAATGCATATAAATGTTCCAACTCCTCATAAATTCTATGTATATTGATCCTCAAATTTTTGCCCACAGAATGAATTCTCCAAGAATTACGATTAACCAATGCGTATAAATGTTTCAACTCGTCATAAATTTTTTCTATTCTACATGTATGTATTTTATGTATATTAACCTTCAAACTTTAGCCCTCACAATGAATTCTGAAAGAATTACGATGCACAAATGCATATAAATATTTCAACTCCTCATAAAGAAACCAACTTTTTGAAGAGTTCATGCACCACTTTCCACAATGCAGCAATTCTGAAAGGACAGGTACAGTGTACTACATGTATATATACCGAACATTTATACATGTAGGCAAGACAAAGTTTTATGATGTCTGTTTATACTTACATACGGATATGACTAGATATGCTCATTGTCAACACAAGACAATATGAATCTCTTGTGTGCTAATAATACTGTACGTCCGACCTTCTTGAATTACAGGTAGATGTAAATCTGTTGGCAACTTTTCTCCTTCTACTCTATACAAGACACTGTAAGATGTTAGAGTTAATCCTCTTTCAGACATGACACAGCAGAACCATGGCCTTTTTTATGACTTAAAGATAAAGATGAGTTCTGGTCATGCGATTGCATTGTGATAGAAATGGTGTGGAATCGATCAGAGAAGGTTGATCATATAAGTATATTGGTGTGTACTGCAAGGTTCTGGAATCATCAAAATGATATGAAATTTGGCCAAATCTTGGTAAAGTAACAAGCACTGTACACAGAAAGATGTATATGGGACTACCGGCACACAAACATGTGGCATAAAAATCGGACCTCCGAGGCATTTGAAGAGCCATGCTTTTCAGGCAACATTCTTTCTCTGATTTTCTTCCACACTTGCATACTAACAATGATAACGCTCAAAAATTGTTTTCACCTCTCCCCAGAACTCGACCTTCTCTCCAAGGTGTACACATCTCTGCATCTTATAACACAGAGCTCAGTGAATAGAGTGGTGAAGTGTGACGTCATCAAAAATCTAATTTGAGAATTTCTCAATTTTACCTTCATTTTCCGAAAGAGCATAAAAAATAATGTCCAAATGTCGAAAACCAATTGAATATGTTAAGTATTGGCTGAGATATGACCATCTGAATATATACATGTCCTGTAGGAACTCAGTGTTATATGCACTGGCTCCTGATGGTTAGGAGCCAGAGCATATAACACTGAGTTCCTATAGGCAATCTTTTTATTCAGATGGTCATATCTCAGCCAATACTTAACAAACATATTCAATTGGTTTTCGACATTTGGACATTATTTTTTATGCTCTTTTGGAAAATGAAGATTTTTTTATAGAAATTCTAAAAATAGATTTTTATGACGTCACAGCTTCGGTACTCTAAAGGCGCAGGACCTATGTTGCGCACAGTCGCCATTCATTCACATGTAAAAAATCTGCTGATTTTGTTTTGCGGCGGTTTACTGCATCATATCCGAATGAGCTGTAAGACACTAAGAAAGATTCTAGCAAAATCAAGACATTACTGTTAAGGATAGGAATGATACAAATTTCTTACAATTGACTCCTATATATACCGTATATCAGTGTTTTCTCATCATTTTGAGGTTATGAACTGTTTATGTACCATACAAGTACAGGACATTATAATTCTATTATTTGCACATCCCTTTAAATATATTTCAGCTTTAAAAACATATGCAGAAAAAAAATACATAAATATTTCTAACATTTCACAAATATATAATTCTTTGGAATGAATTAAAATATATTTCTATCTTTATCTCACAAAATCATTTAATGTGGTACAAGTGTTGTTTGCATCCACAGATACCCAGGATATTCCTTTAAAAATGTATATACATGAACATGAATAACTCATTACATACATGTATGTTAACACATATAACTGTACATGTACATACATGGGCTACTCTACTGGGATTCATTCGTCATCTCCTCTTTTCTAAATCAACATCCCATCATTGCAGAAAGGAAGAAGTCTGAGAAAAGATGATGATGTCTTCAAGAGATTTATAAGAACAAAAAGCTGTAAGTGTTTTCCCTTTCACTACAGCGATGGAAATGTAGAAGTTCATCATACTGTAGTTGCTTGGAGCAAGACGAATAACTCTGCTAGCCTTTATCAGCTGCCTCCATCTTCCTTACAACGACACCACATCTCGAGCAGAAAGGAAGATTTAGTCCGAGTAAGAGATGGTTGTAAAGTCCACAAGAGGTTTAGGACAAAATGCTCATTCTTTTCATTAAAAGCTACTGGACTGTATGGAAAGAAAGAAGTCCATCAAAGTTTGTTCTCACTATATAGATTCATCTTGTCTCCATCAGTAGTTTGAGGGGGATTATGGCAATGTCCTCAAAAGTCTTTACTCATAGATGAAAATGAATGCCTTTCCTTTTCTTACGACAAAGAGGTTGATGAAGTTGTGATCTTGCGGGATGCAGAGCATGGGAGGACTGTAGTCATTGCTAGCTAGAGGATTGACTTGGTGGGTCTTCATCGCTTGTTTCTGCCTTAGCTGCAATCACGCCACGTCTACGGAGGGAAACAATGAAAAACTTTGGTCAGATCTTGAGAGCCTTAAAGGGAGTGTAGCATGACAAAACCATGTGTCTTTCCCGTGGCCTGACCTTGGGGCCAATCGGTTATGATATGAATATGGACTACGCGACCACAGTATTCACGTGCATCCAACCTATACGGAACCGAAGCGTGAAGAACACTTTGGTCTGTTTCGTGAATGCTAGAGCGCGCTGATCGTTAATCAAGTCCATTTGTTTACGTGCAGTTGTCCAAAAGAAGTTGTAGATGCGATATTAAACCAGTATTTGCCATCCTACCCCCCCCCCCCTTTAAGTTTGATCTCACAATGCAAAGATATTTTAGACAAGTCGGTGGCAGATCATGGATACATGCATGTACTGTACATGTAGAATTGTATACATGACTGTAAAAGTCAAACAAACTTAATAACAACAAACTAAACCAATACATGTACTCTTTGTGTTGCCCAATGTAAGATACAAATGCTTAATTCCCTTTAAAGCTTTTTAAAAAATAATTGAACCACTGAATTTAACAAGTAGCAAACCAGAAAAAAATTGATTAAAAAAAAAAAAATTAAATACAATTTTTCTATTAATATCTTACGTGAAATTCATACTATTCTATAGGTAGATCAAAGGAAATGCAATCATACAAAAAAAAAAAGAATTTGTAATAATGGGTGCTAAAATGAAAATAATAATATCCTTCAAGAAGCATCAAACATAATAACCAGGCACAGCAGAACCATCAAAAAGTTGTATGGTGTGATTTTCAGTTAGAGCTCATAAAAGGTATCTTTGGTCAGGATAGTCAAATTTGTGGTTTAATTAGCATTTCTTGAAAGAGTATACTTTCTGAATTTACATGTACGTACACAGTTGGGAAGCACTAAACAATTTAACGTTGGTATTTTGGCAGAGTTTTGCAGACCTATTACCTTCATGTAGTCCCTTTACTGAAATGTTTGTAGAATTTTAATCTCTTTTTGTCTCCTTGAGAGTCAGAGTGCAAAAACACAGCAGAATTTAAGTACCTTATTAAAGTTTTTCTCTAAATACTAACATGCTTTGAGACTGGACATTCTTCTATTTTTTCTTCTTCATCGTGTTTAATAGGGACATGAAATTCTGATGAGTCATATATTATTTGAAAGTTAAGAATCTCCTTTTTCATAGAATCGGACTTAAGTAGAAAATCATTTTCAAGAACTTTTTTGTGATTTACCTTGCTAAGATGCGTTCACACTTTGGACACTTGTTTTCTTTCAGGAAACATGTTGTGTGGTAACAGGCCCAGCAATCTGTTAGGAAACAAAATCATAGAAATGACAGGGACCTTCAAAAGATTACAGTATAAGTGTACATAACAAACAAATAAAAGAAAGAAAGAGAAGGGAAATCAAGAACACGCTCTATGTTTACCTCACAATAATACAGGTACATCTATAAATATGTAAGCACAATCCAGTACATACAGTACACTTCGATCATCATCACAACACCTCCTTGCAGTACATGATATGAATACCTATGGAGACCGATCCTTTGTGGTTTCAGCTCCAGCTCTGTGGAATTCTCTGCCCTTGACGATCAGGAATGCATTCTCACGATTCAAGTCCTGCCGCGGCACTAACGCCCTATGGCAAGACATGAATCTACATATGCCCCGCTTCACCCAGGTTTAGTGCATGTGTATGAGTACATGGAAGGATGTATTCCTTGAATAATTTTAGCATCTTAGAGTAGGTGGGCTAAAGCCAGCATAGGGTAATAAATGTACTATGTAATAAAGCGCATTTCAGGACAGCAGGCCATCTCAATGAGCCTTACAGATATGTATTATTACCCCGGTCATCGGATTCAGGCATACCCGCACACAATGTATGCACATTCTCCACTCCCTGGGGAGCATTCAAGCCAGGCGTCATTTTCATGAAGGCTCGTTCCTTGGAATAGATAAGTGCGCAATATCCTGGTAAATGTAGCTATTATTACAACTGTATACCGGTAGTTGTGCTCATGAGAGAATAATGAATGGCAGATGGGGCTATGATGCTAAAGATAAGAGGGTTGCCACTGCTCTAGTACATTATCACCAATTAATAATGAATAAGAAATCAAAATGGCTCTTAAAGGGATCCTGTATTAAACTTTGTCTCAGATTCTGAAACAAAATCCTGGATTTAGCTCATGCTGCAATCATAATTATAAACATTTAGGTTGGTCAGGAACCCCATGACTTCTACAAGCCGATCGCCTGTCTGATTATCAAGATATTTATGATTGGAATTACAAATTTTCATAACAGTACAGTCTATTGGGGAAAAGGAGTATGGTAAAACCGGTCACTCAAAGATTTTTACTTTTTTGAGGCACTTCTTGATCATTTTGAAGCACGATTCTTTTTTAGGGCTTCAATATTATATCATATTACAGGCACTGATAACACGTAGGGCCGTGCATCTCAGATTTTACATTGTTAAACGACGCCTTTAATTCAGGAACTTACCTAAACATTGATAGGTCGAGTTGAGTTGGAATGGAAAGATGACTTCATCTTTATTGCACAATTCACATACAAATCCCTTGGCTTGACACAGCTGAAATATCAAACATATACAAATGGGCGAATAACTTCAAGCTTACATGTACATTACACAAATTCCAATGTTATGGTGTGTAGAAGTAGAATACCAGGAGATAGGTTCTTAAGATGAGAAGATGTCAACGTGTCAAAACAAAATAAAATAAAAGGAAAAAAGAAGAGTTTTGGGACAATAACATGATGAATAAAAACAACCATGATGTGAAATTTTTCTCTCATAAAGTAAGATTTACATGTATACTCTGTGTTAGTAATCAATGTATAATGTTCTTTTGCTTTGTTCGTAGTATTTTCTTTTTATGCACTTTGTATCTTTATACAGTCAAACCTGTTTTAGTGACCTGCACCTGTCTATAAAGACCACATGTTTTGTTTCCCTTGAAAATTGTTTCTCATTGAAACATGTACTAAAGGAACCTGTCTACAAAGACCACCTGTCTTCAAAGACCTTTTTTTGTGTTTCCCTTGGGTGGTCGCTATAGACAGGTTTGACTTTAATATGAAAAGGCACTTTATAAATGAAATGTTATTAGGAAGTCTTACCTGACACTGACTGACATGAGTAACACCATCTAGAACAAGTTGAGCTAGGGCTTTCTCCAGCTCTCCACTTCGGACATTGAGAAGGTCACTTAATGAGTAAAGGTCAGGCTGACCCATCCAATGACCAGGCTGATTGTCGTACGACGCTTTCAAACTGCAAAGTAAACAAGAGACTTTCATTATATAGTTTCTGCACATTCCATATTAGATATTATAATAATAATAATAATATTTAATTTTTTATATAGCGCTTAATACAAATGTCTCTAAAGCGCTTTACAAATATACTATTACACCGGTCATTGGATTCAGTGCTTGCCCGCACACACTGTGTGCACAATCTCCACTCCCTGGGGAGCATTCCAGCCTGTTTGACCAACAATGACGGCCGCATCCTACCAGGTACCCATTTGACACCTGGGTACACATGTATAATGAGGTGAAAAGATTGTGGAAGAATGAAAATACATGTAACATGATGATGGCACATGTACATGTTTCATGAGGTTGAGAAAAGAAAGGAGAAAAAAGGAAGAATAATAAAAAAGTCCACATCACTTTTTGTTTGAAGTCTTCTATTGATGACTAAATTTTCTGTTCAAGATTTTTCTCCAAGGTATATATGTACTGTATGTAAAATGCCCTTCAAAAATCATTACTCATTCAGTTGAAGCTTGATAAAAGCTTTAGTTTTGATAAACAATTCCCCCTCCTTCCTTTTTTTTTCTTCTTTTGATTTTAATACCAGCATAGCAAGAACCTCTCATATTGTACACATACACTTTACTGTAACATTACATTAACTGTTGGGTCTAAAGCACCATTGCAACATTCTGCTTGTTTTTGAGTACGGTATCTAGACATACAGATGGTTATTCTTTTTCTGAGTTTGTTATTGGCAAATTGTCTATGTATAGGTCATACATGTATATTAGCTTCTTAGTTCTGATACATATACAGGTACAGTCAAACCTGCTTTAGTGACCACATGTCTACAAGGACCACCTGTCTACAAGGACCACCTGTCTACAAGGACCACCTGTCTACAAGGACCACCTGTCTACAAGGACCACCTGTCTACAAAGGCCACATTTGTTGTTTCCCTTAAAAATGGTTTCTCATTGAATCATACACTAAAGGAACCTGTCTACAAAGGCGACCTTTTGTGTTTCCCTTGGGCGATCGCTATAGACAGGTTTGACTGTATATATACATGTATATATATATATATATATATATACACATATGTTTAAACATTGATAAGTGATTTAGCAATACATAATGACACTTTCTTAGAGGACACAGAGAGCAGGATCAGGAGAAAATATTCCTGTGAAAATGACATGTAGCACGTGCATTGAACCACCTCAAATCTTACATTCCTCTATCATCATCTAGTTTATGTTAAAGCAGAGTTACAGCTTTGCTCATCTAACCACATTAGCTTTCGCATCCTACCGGGTACCCATTTAACACCTGGGTGGAGAGTGGCAAATGTAGATCAATGTCTTGCCAAAGGACATTAGTGCCGCGGCGGGACTTGAACCGCGGACCTTGTGATCCAGAGTCTGGTGACATATCCACTCTCGACCACAACACCTCTACATGTATATGTCAAATATTGTCCTATCATTATTTATAGAGTACATTTACAGTACATTTATTTTGGATACAAAGTTTGCCTACGTGATATCCATTGCAATAAATACTGCATCAACATTTTGCTGAAAAAAGAAAAACAAAGCTTTATTCAATAATGATCAGACAAAAAATATTATACAAACTAGATTGCTGCAACTACACTTTGTTTATATTTCATATTTATTTATTCATTTATCTCTTTTTTATATATTTTTTAAAAACTGTAGATGAATATAGAAACAAAAGAGGGGAACAAAAAAAAATGCTTTTTTTTTTCTTCTTTACATTCAGATTAGCAAAATTAGCATATTACAAAATGTTCACAACTTGCTGAGTACAAATCACAAGATAGCAACTTATATTCGACTTTTCAAAAAAAGTTAATGAGGGCATTCACTATACGACACATTTAGACAATAACAATCTATGAAATACAACAAATACAGAATAGTGCTTATAATTTAGTATGCAATTTGTACAGTTTGAAGAAATACAAAATTCTAAACTGAATTCCAAAACATAGCCTTCACATTGGAAAAAGTTTACTCAGTTGACAGCCCATAAACATATCAATGAAATAATATAAAATGCAGCACATATTCATCCACAATTGAGCATGAGTACATATATGCAGTAGCCTATATATTAAACAGAGTACATCTTGTCCTTACATGCACATTACATAGAGGCTGTGCATTCATTATAGCTTACCTTCTACTCAGAGCCACACCATATTTTGGATTGGAAAATTGTTGAATCAATATAGATAGAAAAATATGATTACATATTAATCCCCCACATAATATATGACGAGTTCCCCTCCCCCATAAATATACATCCGTATACATGTGTACATCATTTTATATATTTCTTTTTACTGAGATCATTTTGATAAATAAATTTAACTAAGTGAACATGTGTAAGCTCATAGATTCTTCAAAATATTGATTTTAAAGAGATTCACTGATCACAAAAGCAAAATACAGTAATCAAAATAAATGAACTAATAATACATGTGTATTCATTTTATGCCATGTCAATATCTTTGTTATTATTGAAAGTAATCTTGAGTTCTTGATGTACAGAAAATAATCGCAGATATATGAGCAAATAAAGAATAGGAAATTTAGTGAGAAATCCTGACTGTATTAATGTACACATGTATCAGTTGACTGGTTTTCAGTAAATAATAATAATAGGTTTTAAGTAATTTGTTTACACTGTCCTGGTGAAAAACAACCATTCTACTGCAGGTACACCATAAATAATTATCTTCCATGTCACTCATTTTCTCTCAAAATGGAGTTATTAAGAATAGCAGGATTTCCCTTTTGATTTATTAAAACCTAAATCACGATTTGTTTTCAATTTGATGCCACTGAGCAATGTTATCATTTTAATCAATCAGGTGATTGTATGCATATGTCCTTTACTTGTAACAAAGTCATGAAGTTTTGGAATGAAGTTTACAGGAATATAAAGAAATATTTCATGTCTAATTTAAATTTCAAACCATGTCATCTATTATTTGGTATTGATTTTAATTCAAAGAAGAAAAAAGATGTTGATATTATTTTGAATTATGCACTTTTCACTATTTACAAAAAAGCTTTGTTGGAAAAGAATTTAAAAAGAAAAGAACAAAACAGAGACTTCTTCATATTTTGTTTTAACTATTGAATCATTGTTTACAGATATTAGAAAACCATGCATATCCCTCCAGAAATGGAGGCAGATGCTACAAATGTGAAGATGTTTATATTATTATGAGGAAATAAAGAAGACCAGAAATGGTTATTTTACCCCCCAAAAGAAAAAAGATTTGATTTCAAAACTTCATTAGACTAAATGAAAAACTGAAAGAAGATTCTTAACAATTATATAGCTTTAGGTACATTTATGTAGTATGTAACTTTATGCAGAATTTAATTGCATTCCCAGAAGTAAAGGATAATTAAATTATTTAACACATTCATGTACTTCAGATCTAAAACATTCTTTGAAAGGACTTGGGTATAATTTTCCCAAATGCTTAACAAAAAGTACACACAAGGCATTGTGAATCACTTTCTCTTACCTTTCACAAAGTCTGCATGTCTTCAAGAAATCCTTGAGGAAAAACAGCTGAGATCGTAAGTCCTGGTGAATTTAAAAGAATAAGTACATTTTAATGGTTTAAATGTAGCATGTTTTCTTCTTCGATACAATGTTTTGTTAAATCAAACAGTACACTACATGTAGCTAAGCATGTTGTGATAGATTTGTGACTCACAACATTGAAAGTATTACTAAAACGGTGTATGATGATATAATTGATAATCCTGTCACAAGTTCTCCATGGCCAGGTCCTATCATGAGTTGAATTCATGGCTTCATATTAAACTGAAATGATCTTACCCTCCCTCAACACAGCCCTACCCTAAAACCCAATCTCGACCTAAGTTCTAATCCAGTATCTTGGATGAAATAGAAACTAGAACGAATCCCTGATAAGCACATTTTGTAACGAGATGACTGGTTCTATGACACATGGTCCAGTGACAATTGCAACACAGTCAATATCCTAGACTAAATGAATTCCTAACATCAACCCTGGACCAAACACTAAACCTAACCCTATAACCCTAAACCTAACTTTAAAACCAACTAAAGCCCAGTCCCGAACTTTTAAACATAATTGCTTAAGTACGGATTAAGTCTGGAGAAATTGCTGCCATAGCAAATGTTGGATCACTGGAGAACCCAACTAAACTTGACAGGCTGCATATGACACACCTTCCGGTAGAGGGTATGGTTGAAGTCTGCTATCCAAAACCAAATCTAAACAAAACTTTAACCCTATATCTGTGACCAAATACAGCCTGTACCGCAGTAAACGCCTAAAGACCACATTCTTCATGAGGACCTGACTAACCTTGACAGCCTGCATTTGCTTCACTTTCCTGTAGAGGATGGCATTGATGTCCGCCACGTTGAAGACAGGATCACCCTGGATCTTGGACAGAAGCTCATGGGAGAAGTTGGAGATCGGGTAGCGACTGAAGTCCCACTTCCTTAGGATGCGGCTGGGGATAGGAGATGAGGCGTTGGTATGGCAACACTGGCAGAAGTACTTGCCCAAGTACTCGCAGTAGCGCAACCGCTTCAGGAAACCTGATAGAGATCAAAGCAAAAGGTATTTGTGTAAAGAAACTGTTTCCCCATGGTGCAGTACCTATGTATCACATTGGCAGATATGGAAGTAGTTGCCTGGGTACATGTTCTTGTACTATTACATTCAAACCTGCTTTAGTGACCACCTGTCTACAAAGGCCACATTTTTTGTTTCCCTCAAAAATGGTTTTTCACTGAAACATGTACTGAAGAAACCCGTCTTTAAAGACCACCTGTCTACAAGGACCACTTTTTATGTTTCCCTTGGGTGGTTGCTATAGGCAGGTTTGACTGTACTATTACAGTCACTTCAGGAGAACCATGCAGAGTCTCATCAAACTGTCAAAGTCTCAGGTTGTAGACATCTTGTGAAATACATGTTAATTTGGGATGTCTGCAAATTTTAGACATACATGTGTATGATGGTAGTATGAGACACTACTTTGTTTAATAGAAGAAAAAAAAAAAGGTGAAAATAGGCATGTTTTGACCCTGTCTTCACATATAGAGATAACACTACTCCATACTTGTGAAAACAATAAATGTTAATACAAGGCCCATTAAGATCAGGCACAGGGATAAAAGAGATAGATGATGGATATATTATCAAGGTTTAAAATTTATATTAGATATTTTTGGTCCCCCCCCCCCCCAAACAAAAATTTAAAAAATTGCATGTTTTATATTTATTTTCACACGGAAATGACAAACTCCTCCTAAGGCAAAGAATCCAGCATCTTACCCCTTTCTGCCTTCATACCACAGCCAGCACAGCGGAAGTTTTGCTTAGCAACAAGCTGCTTCCGTCTGCAGTCCAAGGAAAAGAGATACAAATAAAAGGAGAAGTGAACAGAAACAATTTGGAATGAGCTCAAATTAATATGATAATAGAAATGTGGACTTGTACCGAAGAAGTTACTGGTTCAATATTTTGGATCACTTAACTCATATCGTGCCAAGAACACTGTTCCGTGCATGCGCTGGCGTGCCACGCTCACATAATCGTGTTTCTGGTCGCTTGCCATGCACACATAAACTCTCATTCGCTCGCGTGCCACTTACACATTTTCATGCATAAGTACACACGCTAATTGTTTATGCCTATTGTGCGATGCCCATTGAGTGCACGCATGAATGCTTATTGTATTTGTGTAGAGGGTTTATTGTTGTTTCGATTTTGCCTGCTTCACTTATACAATTACATTGGATTTCCTGAGAAAATTGTGATATTTTATCATCAAATTTGTCAGTTTTGATCATGGCTCCTCAGATTTTGTGCGGGAAATGAGACAACGGATTGATTTGACAACTCACTGATAGTGCTTATTTACTTTACCAAAATTATAGATTCATGAAATGATATTGGTATCAATGGAAAGAGGGTAACATTTCCCACAACTTTAATGTACAATTTTTTTTAATACAATGTACGGATGAGATGTTATAGTGGATCAAACATAGTAACAATTTAAACTACACGCACTTGAACCAACCCTAAAATAAATTTGGCACGGGGGATTAGTGGCTGGCACAATAGGGATTAGCACTGTGGCACTGGGTGCATTGCATGGGGGCAGCTTAAGAGTTAAACAGAAAGTCTTTAAGATCGAGGGCATAGGGCAATGTCTAAAAATTGAATTTTGTTGCTTTGAGGGTACCCTTTGTAGGAGCCCCTTTGTTTAAGAAAGTGTCCTTTTTGTTATTGCCCCCCCCCCCCCCCCCCCCCATTTTGAAAGACATTCTGTTGCCTCTTTACAATGTTCTCTGATGCAATGAATATAATATATACTTACTTGGGAGGAGGATGAATACTGAAGACAATTTGAGGTCTGGGAGGAGCCCATTCAAGGTTTCCACGGAGACGCATCTATGCAAAATGAGACATCAGAAAAGAATAATAGTTAGCCCAATATACAGTACAGTCAAACCTGTCTATAGCGAACGTCCAAGGGAAACACAAAATGTGCTTGTTGTAGACAGGGTCCTTTAGTACATGTTTCAATGAGAAACCATTTTCAAGGGAAACAACAAATGTGCTTGTAGACAGGGTGCTCACTAAAGCAGACTTGACTGCACCTGCACAGCAATGCAAAATGTTGTCATTGAAATTGTTTAGTCTGCAATTACTCAGTATGAATTAATATTAATCACATTAATTACATATGATTAATCTAAGAATGTTTTTTGTCTCAAAATACAAATTTGAACAACCTGTATTTTGAAAAACACACTTCCTATGCAGTGTACATTATTAAGTACAGCAGAAATATGGTTACAAAACAAACTACAAAGTACAGATGACAAGATCACTTTATAAACTTACATGGAAAAGATAAGTTCATGAAATAAAAATGTTTACAAAAAGAAGATTAGAGGAAAAAGTGACACACTTTACTACAAGCATAAGATATGCTACTACATGTTTCTCTAAATATGTCTATAATTTTGGTGAAAATACATGTATACCATATGTGGTAATAACAAATTATTATACACTTTCATCGTGATTACATGTGTACTTGGTAGGACAGTGCTTCAGTGAGTGAATTTCATCAACAAGGAAAAAGAACCAATAAATATGATTCTCAAAAGAAAACCTCAATTTATATTTAGACTTACTGTTTATTTCCAATCGATACAACTAATAAACTAGCACTTTGTGCCAGAGGCTCCAAACAAACAGTATAATTATATTGGACTCACATTCTTATAGAGGTCAGCGTTCTCTCCGTCATCAGGAGATATAGGGACTGACTTAGGTAAAGGCAACAGCTGCAAGAAAAAAGGCAAACTAGAATAAAAGATTGGCCAGTCTTCAAATCTTGCACTGGCTGCTCATAATTTGTTCTTTCTATATTGCAGAGGTGATAGTGAGCACCAACAAAAAAGACATCTAATAACATCCCCCCTCCCCCCTTAAGAGTAAGAAATTGGGAAAAATAGGAAAAAAAGGGGTAATCTCGGGAGAAAACAAAAACCAATCAGGAAACCGATTTAAATTGGGTAATTATCAGGCCTGATATTGTTAAGAAGTGGTTGTGCGAAGTTCTAGACAATACAGTTTGTACATGCATTTTTGCAAATTGAGTTTAATAACACACATTGAATTAAGGACTGCTTATAAAATACATGTGCATGTACACACTGTACAATGCATCTTTCTCAACATCCTTCGTGGATTTACCGGTTGATATTACAATACATGTATGTTAAATGTTAGTACCTGTGTAGATTGCAGCCACCTTGCACATGCTGAAAAAGCTCTAGGCCCCCGTTTTATTACGTTTTCAATAACAAATTATAATATTTCAATGTACACATACATGTACAATGTTCAAGTAAGCCACTGAAGGGAGAGACAATTTAATTTGCATAATTATGTAGTACATGTACATGTCTTATCATCAATGAAAACAAATGAATGGAATGGAAACTCACAATGCGTGGAGACATAATACATTTTCACATCCAATTAGCAATGCAAACAACAAGGAAATACATGAATGCCTAGATGAAATTAATGGGTTGGCACAGAAAATAATTTGTTTGTATGAGAAAGAACCATTAAATGCTCTATATTGATCAAAGTCTTAGCAAGATATTCAGCTACATGTATTTCTAATGGCAGTAATTTTCTTTCAATTAGAATTTATCACTGTTAAAGGACAGGTTTTATTGAGAAAGAAAAATAATTGGCAAATTTCAAGCAAATAAAGATGTTATTTTAGGGTGAGCTGGGTTGAGAAAGATGTTATTTTAACTACACTGTATGCATTTAAAGCTATAAATAATTACCAGACGATGACTAATAGACTTTCCATAGCAGTAGCCTAACAACTGAGATAGTTTGTGACATGCATACGAAATGCACACTAATAATAATAATAATAATTTCTATAGCACCGTTTATCTAGAAATTCTATTCCGAAGCGCATTTATTATTACCCCGGTTTTAGCCTAGCTGCCATTACAGCGCACCAGCATTTCAAGGAATTAATTCCTGCCAGATACCCATTTACATCACCTGGGTTGAGTGTGGCAAATGTAGATACATGTCGTGCCAAAGGACATTAGTGCCGTGGCGGGACTCAAACCGTGGACCTTATGATCGACAGTCCAGCGACGTATCCACTTGACCACGACACCTGTACTCAAAGGTCACTTCTTGGAACTCCAAATACCCCCCCCCCCCTTACATCATTTCTATGGGAAGGAACTATTTTGGAGCACTGTGGATTGACCAATAAATTGGAACTTCTGGAGGGTGTTTCACAAAGATCCTAAGTTAAACTTAACTCTAAAGTTGGAGTTAAAAACTATGGAGAGTCATTGTAGCCTTAAAATAAAGTATATTCAAAAGCAAAATTTCAAGTTTTTGACTTTTTATAAATTCCACATCAAGAACATGAAACCTCCTTGATAATAGAAAATATGAAGGATTGGAATCAACATTTTATGCCTTTTGAAATAACTTTTACAATTTTTTTCATAAATGCTCATGGTTTTCCATAATTGTTAAGTCCAACTTAGAGATAAGTTCAACTTAGGATGTTTGTGAAACCACCCCCTAAGGGACATACACTACCGCTCAAAGGTTTTGGCACATCGGTTCGGTAACGGTTTGGTGCGCAATGTCCTTCGGTTAGCCTCCGAGGTTAATCTCCATGATTTTGTTGTTCACCGCAAAGTCTCGGTTAGCAAACGGTGAGCAAACGGTGAGCATACGGTGAGCAAACGGTTAGCAAGAGAGAGCGCACGCGCGGATTTCTCTGAACGGTGAGAAATCGCGGTTAGCTAAAAGCGCGCACGTGGTGAGCTAAGATCGCGCACGCATTGAAAGCTGTATTGTGACGTAACAATGACAGATTTTATAAAGCCTCATGCAGATCTAGGAATCACGTTTGCTAATGTATAAAGAATTAAATCAAGTAAATAATCATTTTTGTATCATTCTGTCGGCAATGACATCAAGTAAATAATCATTTTCGTATCATTCTGTCGGCAATGAAATCAAGGAAATAATCATTTTCGTATCATGCTGTCGGCAATGACATCAAGTAAATAATCAATTTCGTATCATTCTGTCGGCAATGACATCAAGTAAATAATCATTTTCGTATCATTCTGTCGGCAATGACATCAAGTTAATAATCATTTTCGTATCATTCTGTCGGCAATGACATCGAAGTAAATAATCATTTTCGTATCATTCTGTCGGCAATGACATCAAGTTAATAATCATTTTCGTATCATTCTGTCGGCAATGACATCGAAGTAAATAATCATTTTCGTATCATCCTGTCGGCAATGACATCAAGTTAATAATCATTTTCGTATCATCCTGTCGGCAATGACATCGAAGTAAATAATCATTTTCGTATCATTCTGTCGGCAATGACATCAAGTTAATAATCATTTTCGTATCATTCTGTCGGCAATGACATCAAGTAAATAATCATTTTCGTATCATTCTGTCGGCAATGACATTAAGTTAATAATCATTTTCTTATTATTCTGTCGGCAATGACATCATTTAATGAATCATTTTCTTATCATTCTGTCGACAATGACATCGAAGTAAATGATAATTTTCCTATTATTCTGTCGGCAATGACATCGAGTAAGTAATCATTTTCGTATTATCCTGTCGAGTATGATTGAGTAATATATATAGCAAGACCAATTTTTTTTAAATAATATAATAGCAAGCAAGACTAAGAAAATATCGCAAATATAGTTCACCCCTAAACTTGATTTATTCCACTCGCGTGGCCCTTGTCACATTCCACCAAGTCTCAAGAGAAACAAATTACGGTATCTCTTATCTTGTTGACATAATTATATCATTCAACGACTGACTCTTATCTTAATCTATTGCTGAGTGACTTGATGACAGAGAAAGTGCATGTTACGCAATGTACGGTCTCACCCAGGCAGGGAGAAAGTTATGGTTCCCACGCCAAGACCTTACTTCTTGGAGCCTTGCCAACTTCACACCGCGCGTGACTATGCGCTCATGAATATTGATGATTAAGTGTATTCATATGTATTTTAATGTACCATGTACGGACATGCTGAAAAACAGTTTATGCAGAGCTGAAATCATGTTTTTTAATCACCGTATTTAAATAAATAAATAAACAAACAAAACTTGCTCACTGATATGCAATATCAAGGTCATGTTCGAAGCTCCCGGCGGGCCTAATTCTATTGGTCAGATTTTATTACTCAGAGATTTTTTCTATTTTTATTTCCTCTTCAGAGGTATTTATTCGGTTATAAAATACATTTTACAACAAATAATTCAAACTGGAATATACATTCAACTTACACCTCATCTCTTGAAATCTTCACAATAAGATAAAATCAAGGGCTATAATGTTGAAGGTCATTTGATATAACATCTGAAATGTTATCCAAACACAGATCATTTTTAAAAACATGCCAAATTGCAAGACTGTTGTATGTTTTCCCTTGGAAGTATACATGTAGTTTGACATGTGTATATTGTGCATATGTAATAATTACATTTATATAGTGTTGGAAAAATTAGAATCTGCACAAACATCGGGTATTTTCGTTAATTATCAGTGTTTCCTTGAAGTTATACCGCCGATAATGCAACAAGCGTTTACTTTGGGGCGAGTGAACAAACGATTCAGTTGTTTTGCATCCATTTTCACCCGCTTTTTCATGCAAAATGTTTTCTTCATTCTTTCTTCTACTCTTTCACAATCTCTCATATCCGAAATAATCCATAATGGCAAACGATGTTAGTAGGATTTACATCATAACACAAAGGATAAATTAACGATGTACATGACATTTTCTCTCAATTTCCAAATCGATATTTTCTCGGCGTCATGATAAACATACGATACCTCCAAACACATTGCTTCCTGTCCTATAATTGACGTGAAACTTGCATCAGAAAATGTACCCAAACCCCAAGATTCTATCAAGCATTATATGCAATCAGTATTTAATCCGTTAAATAATTTCCAAATAGTAAATACCATTAAGGGGACCTTTAGAATTGGTTCATAAAAGGTGTATTGTTTCTCTAATCTCCCGGCCAGCGCCCTCGTCATCGGGCTCTTTGAAATAAGGGGACCTTTAGAATTTGTTCATAAAAGATTTCTTGAAGTCCGGTTTCTTTTAGGCTCAGCTCACATTTTGATGTGTGAGGGGTTCTCTCTCTCTCTCTCTTCAGATGAACTGAACTGTATTGTTCCCATTCCAATACAATTTACATATACTTACGAACCAAGTCATAATTGTCTGGCGGCCGCCAGATAATTCTATCTTTCCTTATCATGATTATGTTATTTTCCTTCTATCTTCTTCACTTTCTACCTTTTCTTATGTTATTCTTTGTTTTTATCCTTCCACATTCTTCTCTTTTTATTTTCCGTATGTTACTCTTTGCTTTTATACTTCTATCATTTCCTCTTTCTATTTTCATTTTGAAATTCTTTGTTTTCCTTTCTATCTTCTGTTCTTTCCTGTAATTATTCTTTGTTTTTATCTTTCTATCTTCTCTTTCTATCTCGCTATCTTCTCTTTCTATCTCTCATGTTATTCTTTGTTTTATTTCTCTTTCTATCTGCATCATAACGAAGGAAATATAGCTAGATTATTTGGCGGCCGCCAGATAATTCTATCTTTCCATATGTTATGTTGCTTGACTTCTATCGTCTTCTCTTTCTAATGGTTGAGTGCAAATGAGGTATTGCCTGGGTTATCAGGCTACACATGAAGAGAAAATATTAACAAAATTATCCATTTTCAATGTTTAGGTAAGATTCAAAGCATACTAGCTGACATTAGAAGGCGGACGTGGTTTATTTAAAAACGCTCAAGAAAAGCCTGAAATACAGGCGCGGATCCAGGGGAAGGAGTGTGCTTGGCCCCCTCCCCCTCCCCGCCAAAATAAAAGAGAAAGAGAGAATGAGAATAAGGGTAAGGGAAATAAAGAAGAGAGGAAGAAGGAGATCCTTTATTGTAACTATTTTTTGTATACAACTCGTGAAATATATTGACCTGTTTCGTTTTGTTTGTTTTAAAATTAATCAAGTTTATTTGTAAACACTAGCATTGGCGGATCCAGCGGGAGGGGGGGGGGGTAATATGATGTACATTTTGTTTCCATAATAACGGGAGACGGTCAATCCCATGAATACAAGAAAAAGGGAGGAGGGGGAGCCAATAACAAATAAATAAATAGCAACGAAACGAACAAACAATAAATGAATCAGAAAATAAAACGAAATCGGTGAGATGGCCTCGGACCTCCAATTATCACCTTATTAATCAATCAATAATGATACCCCCTTCTACCTTTCACTCTATATCACCGATTGCGCTCTTATCCCTCCTTTTCTAATATTCCTCTCTTCCTTCATTCCTTCCTTTCCTTTTTTTTATTTGTCCTTTATAACATTCGATTGTCTTTTGTTGTCTTCTACTATTTCTCCCCGTCTATGTCTCTCTCTCTCTACAGTTATTTAGGATATCTTAAGTCTTATGGGGGGGGGGGGGGGGGGGGTGAGCCGTCTCGGCCTACTGAATTCATTAATGTTCGTTTTTTTTTTAGGTGCCTTTTTCCAGTTTCGGAATTATGGACCCTATTTCATTTTCGGATTATGAACCCTATTACATATTTCGGAAATACGAACCTTCGGACAACCACCCTCCCCCCCCCCCGGAACGATAACTCCCGTGGGCTATAACATCCGAGGACAAATACCCCCCCCCCCCCCCCCCCCCCCCCGGAACGAATATCCACGGAGAATTAGCTCCCCTAGGACAAATATGCCCCAACGACAAATATACGCCCCCCCCCCCCCCCCGTTCAATGAAGGGGAAGTCCACCCTGATGATAATTTGCATTTTTTCGGGGGGGGGGGGGGGGGGGGGTGAAAATCAAAGGGGGTAATTTTCCGAGGGGGAGGGGATAATTGCCTTGGCCGGGGGTGTTCGTCCTATTACCCTTTTATTTATATCAAGTCTCTTCCTCCCATGTAGATTTCCTCTCCCACGAATCCTTTATTCTTATCCAGTTTCTGATTCTTCCCATCTATTTAAATATTTCCTTGTATACTTTATTCCGTTACAGTCGCCTCTTCGTTCCATATATTTCCTTTCTCTGATATCATTTAATCTTTAATATCTACATGTATTTCCCTTCCCTTTTATCCTTTAATCTTTGATTGGTCATCTGAAGACATCACCCTTCATGGATGTTTACAAGTCCCGTCAGACATTGATTGATTAACAAGTAAATGACATGAGGTCACTGTCCTCCACACCTCTACCTTACCCCGTCTTTCTACTTCCCTCTCTGCCCTCTCCCTCTCTCTCTCTCTCTCTCTCTCCTTCTCTCTCCCTCCTCCACGTGATTACATTTCCCAGACATGTTTTGACAGTTCTTATCTAAGAAATATGACACGCCCCAGCCAGCTGAAACTGAAAAGGCTTGTATAGTCTGCCAATTCAGACGTCATACCATAAATGACAACTGAAAACAAGCAAATATTTGCTTTAAAAAATAAAATTGCAAATTATTGTTTAGCCAATGAGAAGAGCTAACTTGTCATCTGAAAATCAGCATTTCGAGATAGAACGAGATTGTACGAATCGTTGTTGTAGTCGTTTTAAAATGGAATTCTTGTGTCCGAAACTAGACTTTTAGCTTCTATACCATTGATGGCTCCAACGACGTGTGTAAGGGAATTAATCTTTCGGATAACTTTCATCTGATTTTCGGATTTATAGTTAAACATGGATATTCTAAAAGTGGGATCCCGTCATAGAATCAGGTAAGTATGCAATACATTATCAATCTGTAGCTTAAAAATCTGCAGCTGCTTGTTTATTCTTAGTTGGGTCGTTTGTATTTTCAAACCAGAATGAGCAAAGCGGTATGGGAATATTTTATGAACAACTCATGTCCTATGTAATTATCAAACTTGCGTGCCTCGCGTATCGATGAATGAACTTGCTTGCTTTTGTTTTGTCTTCGGGTTACTAGGTTACACGCTGGGGTAGTTTAAGTTTATCAGACCATTATAATGTTCAATGTATTTGTGGCTGCTTTTACCTCTTGAAATAAAGGCTCTTCGTTATTCAAATATTCAACAATTATTCTGAAATAATGATGGTATTGTGAAATCCAACAAAAACTCGTTATTTCTCATTATCAAAGAACATTTTTTCAGCTAATTACAAACAATGCCTGGTTGGCTAAGCCTATGTAGATGTACGCGCTACCTTTCCCTTTCTAGTCTGGTGAACGACCATCATGTGCAGTACGTCCGAACTTGTGGAATCAAGTCAGTCAATCGGCAATTTCCATTCATTACAGATCAAAAAATAGAAATCCCCATACATGACTCACTCACAATAACACACACATTTTTATTTACGTTTTGAGGAATCAAGAAAATAATCATTTTCGTATCAATGTCTAGCCAACGAAATCAACTAAGTAATCATTTTCGTATCATTCTGTCGCCAATGAAATCAACTAGGTAATCATTTTCGTATCATTCTGTCGGCAATGACATCAAGTAAATAATCATTTTCGTATCATTCTGTCGGCATTGACATCATTTAATTAATCACTTTCGTATCATTCTGTTGGCAATGGAATCAAGTAAACATTCATTTTCGTATCAATGTCTAGCCAATGAAATCAACTAATTAATCATTTTGTCGTCAATGAAATCAAGTAAATAATAATTTTCGTATCATTATGTCGTGTGTTTATGCTCGGAATGAAAAGAGTATTCTTTTACACTATTGTAATGTAACAATGACATCAAGTAAATAATCATTTTTGAACCATTCTGTCGGCAAAAAAATAACTAAGTAATTATTTTTGTATCATTCTGTCGGCAATGAAATCAAGTAAATAATCATTTTCGTATCATTGTCTTGGCAATGAAATCAACTTTATAATCATTTTCGTATCATTCTGTCGGGAATGACATCAAGTAAATAATCATTTTCGTATCATTATGTCGTGTGTTTATGCTCGGAATGAAAAGAGTATTCTTTTACACTATTGTGATGTAATAATAAACTGATTGTGACGTCAGTGGCAAGCGCGCATCCGTATGATAAAATAAAACAAATAACTTGACTTTCCGCGTACGCGTGTGCAACTTTTGAGAGTTCTTTGGATACGCGCTCGCAGACTTAGCGCGCACATTTCTTTTTGTTATTTATTCCTCGGTTAGCAAACGGTGAGCGTACGGTGAGCAAACGGTGAGCAAACGGTGAGGAACCGAAGTTGGGCGTACGGTGAACGGTTCCTCGCCGTTCACCGTACACAGTTCGGTGCGGTTTACGGAGCGGAACCGATGCCAAAACCTTTGAGCGGTAGTGTACATGTAATTTCTACATGTAGCTATGGGATTGTCCTTACCTGTTGAGGGGCATCCTTCTCCGAGACTAGCCACTCCAGTTCAGATGCAGCCGGGAGTTGACGGAAGGAGAACTTCTTGATGAGTGAAAGTGCTATGGATTCTGCCGAGTGCTGGTTGGAAGAAGACGGTTCTATCTTGCACAGGGGTATGACCGTCTCAAGAGGGTACATCTGGTTGGCTCTCTTCAGGTCTGCGTCTAAATATGAAGCAAATGGGAAAGTTAAAAGATAAAGTTCAGTTCTGGTCATGCGATTGCGCCTTGAGGACGTGCGCTATATAAGAATCCAATATTATTATTATTATTGTGAAAGAAACGTTGTGGAATCAATTAGACAAGGTTGATCATCTAGCATATAAGTATTGGTGTGTACTGCAAGGTTCTGGAATCATCAAAATGAAGAAATTTGGCCCAGTCTTGGTAAATCTACAAGCAATGTACACAGAAAGATGTATATGGGACCACACAAACATGTGGCATAAAAATCTGTCCCGATTTGTATGATGTTACATGCCATATTTAGAATATTAAAGCATTTGAAGAGTCATACTTTTCAGAGAACATTAAATATCTGATGTTCTTCCACACCTGCATATTAACAATGATAACACTCACAAATTATTTTTCACCTCCTCCCAGAACTCAACCTTCTCTTTAACTTCTTTCGTTCAGTTGGCAGCAAATCCCACCAAAGAATTTGAGACTTGAACAATTTGTTTTGACCATGAATTGTGTGGTTTTCAGGTAGCCTCATTTAAAAAAAAAATTATCCACAAAGAACATATCCCAAGCCTAATTAACAAATGTAAAAAGTACATGTAACTGGAGTCACTTCAAATTTTTAGTATGACAACTGTTGAAAAACATGTTGGGACAGAAGTTGTAAATATTCTATAGAACTGTGCATTATCTATTGTTTAATATACATACTGGTTCTCTCTGGTGATAGCAGAACAACAAGGCTAGAAGCCCTTCAGCTTTTGTTATTTTGAGAAGGGCCAGTGCCCAGTGATATACCTACATGTAGCTATAAAACCTAAACCTAACCTATTACCAAATCACAACCATAACCTTCACCCTAAAGCTTTGATTTAAAAATATAAAAAAAGCAATGCTGCTGAAGCAAATCCTGGATTAAAGAAAAAAGAAAGAATAAGAAACAACAAAATAAGAAGTAAAAAGAAAAGGAAAGAGAAAAAAGAAAAAGAAAAAGAAAAAGAAAAAGAAGGAAAGAATAAATAAACTTTGAACCACTCCATTTGAATGGACTACCGGTATTTCATGGGTCTTATTAACAAACCTGAATAAAGCGACCCCAGTGACGCAGTCAAGCCTTTTGTCTTCATAGCAACCAGATTGGTATCCAGGGAAGAATCAGTCACTACAAAGTCTTCTGCTTCCTCCATAGATTCCTCTGAAAGGTGAAATTTTGAAAACTAGGTGGATAGTGATTCTTTATAATTTTGATATACATGTATTTGGATGCCCCTAAAACACTTCTGCTTTCCAGAAAAATTTAATATAAAAATTTACAGGTGCTCCTGGTAAATTTTAATAAATTTCAAATAGTGCCTACGGCCATAGAATGGAGGCTGCGACCATGAAAATCTCAGAATATGCATCTTGCCCTCGAGATGGAGCTATACAACACTGAATATTGTATGATCGCATATACTTCGAATATCTTCATTTGAACCAAATTCATGACCCCATACCAAAACTTTGTATTACCTTTAATTGAAAAAAAAAGGTCAAGGAAACTGTTCCCATTAACGATAAAGCCTTGGTCAGTGTGCAGTATGCAGTGGTATACCACTGTATATACAGTATATAAATGCTTCAAATTCCTATTGCATATCTTATACCACAGATCTACAATGTTTGTGAATATAAGTAGGACCTACGTTGCCATTCATTTACACGTTCAAAGTAAAATAAAGGTGGTGATTTACAGCGGTTTATATCTGAATTAGCTTTAATGGTAACAAAAAACTATTACTTCAAATCATTCTCACATTTTAATCAGGAAATACATGTACATACCATATAAAAATATGTCTGCAATGCCACTAATAAATAATCTGTATGATAGGACCTACTATAAAACTTTGATATTCGACAGGAAAGTTGCATATCAAAATCTTTATTATTTCCTTTCTTTTATAGTACTTAGATTAAATAAAATACATAAAGTGAACAACATACATAACATGTAATCAACATCAATTTATACATTTTGTTTACACATTTGTAAAACACTGTTGTCAACAGTGTTACATTTGCTATGTTGACAATAGCTACCTGCTTTATTTCATCAAAACTAGTTTAGGCTTTGGGTCAGGAGAGTCAATTGACCGTGGGGCAAATGTTGAAGGAGCCTATGTGTCATACACCTGTTTATAGCGATGCAAGAAGACTACAATTGCGTGCATTCAACTCAACAAACCTGAATCAGACAGATATTGCAGCGATTCCGTTTCATCATGCTCAGGACTCCAAATTTCACAATCTACATAACATATAATAGTTTGAGAGTAGGGCATGCATACACACAGCAGAGTAAGGAAACAATATTTACAATGGTGAAAAAGAAAAGTGGTGACAAGGAAAAGAAACAAACAGAAATGGGAAGTACATTGCAATGGAAATTGAAAGAAAAGGTATATTTGTAGATAAATAGAAAAAATAGAGAGAGAGATACAAAATTAAATGAAATAAGCAAGAAATAAATAATGAAATAAATGATTAGTGCAAAATGTTAACTATCAAAACACTTGAATAATATAGATTGTATAAAATGTTCAGTAAAACTTGATACATCAGCACAATTTAAATGAATTTTTAATATTACACAAAGCAGTCACTTCTTCTCACAAAAATCATACTTGTGATGGGATTGATGATAGATAAAACAAAACGGTGATGGGAGTAACATAAATTGATTCAAATAATCAATGATAAAACATCATACAGTATGTTAAAATTAAAACTTGAGTATTATCATTATAGACAAAGGTACGGTAGTGAATGATACATGTTTATTCATACTTGTATCATGGAAAATCTGCCTCTTTTCACTTTTAAACTCAACCAAATTTCCTTGCTGTGTCATACTCATTTATTGATTTTTAGAAGGCAGCAAGAAAACACTACATAATATTTTCATGTGGAAATAGCTGTGGCAAGCCTTGTATTAAAAACATAATATTTTGTACTTGTACTGAAAACACTGCATTTGTAAAGAATATATTTTGAGCCAAAAAACACAACAACGCTGCAATAACATTAGGCGCGTCTTCATCATCTCGAGATTGCCAAATAGCCCACTATTTCTGATTTGGGAAATAATCCCGAAGTTACAAATTGGTCTTCATCAGCTCAAGATTCGTCCTTGAGACTTGAAACTCAACCTTGAGAAATTAGCTCGAGATATTTTGCCCAGCGTTTGCGCATAGTGTGAGTCTTCGGTCTGGTGAAGACGCACCGGACAAATAGCTGGATATTTTGCCAAATAGTGGGATATTTTGCAAACTATCCCAAGATATCTTGGGATGATAATCCCAACCTAATATCCTGCTAATTGCAACTTCGGGCTGATGAAGACGCGAAGTAGCTGGATAGTTCGCGATCGGGATTGTTCAAATGGCGGGATATTTGGCAATCTCGAGCTAGTGAAGCCAGGCCTAATTTTATTAGTGCTGTAACATCACGGATATCTTCAATTCCGTTTAACCGCCAGTCAAAACCGGACGGTTTTCGGTTAAACGATTTATTTAAAAAAATATTGAAAAAAAAAAAAAAAAATGATTTTTTTTTTTTTTTTTTTTTTTTTTTTTTTTTTTTTTTGCCGTGTGAAAAAGCGGGGAAGACTGCGAGGTGATTTAATTGAAGGCGCCGATTTGTGCTTGTGAACAAGTCACAAATAATAGTAACAATGTCGTTTTTAGAATAATGTGTAAGATCATTAATGTAAATTAAAAACAGTAGAGGACCTAGGATAGAACCTTGTGGTACACCATGTGTTAAACTTGGATGAATATATATTGAGATCTATTACAAAGATTACTTTCAAACCAAGATGACAGACAAATTGGAGTGTTGTTCTAGTTTCCAAGTGGTAAGTCATCACACCGATTACTAAGCGGGGAGAAATTGCCAGGCATAGTGCCAGGTGGAGGGGCATAAATCGAAACTTTAAAAAAAATAAATAAAAAAAAAAAAAGTTATTGAAAAAAAAAAAAATTATTAAAAAAAAAAATTAAAAAAAAAAAAAAAACGGGAAAACGAAACCGTCCAATTGAAAACGGAATCCGCCATGGGCGGTCGGATACCGGACGGTTCAACGTTTGACTACAGCACTAAATTTTATCTATCTCAAAGTTGGATGGACATGCAAATCTCTTGAGAGCTGGAAGGGTGTAAGATCCTTTACTTTCACAACTTCCTTCTGCCTCTCAACAGCCACTGTGATGATCTAGTGTAACTTACCGGATGGACTTGGGTCCTGTTCAGAGTGCATCTTACGTTCCCTCTTCTCCGTTCGTCTGAGACGTATTCTCTGCTTGAGTCTCTGGATCTCTTCGTCTGAGCCGTCTGATTCGTGGTCTGAGGGTGTCTGTCGAGTTAGCTGACGGCATTTGATCTGCTCTACGGCTGCGATGATGGCCTCCGAGATGCAGAAGTGGGCATTCTCCTGAGCAGGGAAAAAATTAATATTTATTTTATGGGGTTCTTTTCTGATTTTCGGGGGCTCTTTTGGGCATTTCGGGGACAAATTCGCCCTGAGCCCCGGTGTATTTTTTCACTGCTCCTGAGCAGTACATGTATATAGGAGATACAGTCAAACTTGCTTAATATTCACCACCTGTCTACAAGGACCACCTGTCTACAAGGACCACCTGTCTACAAAGATCACTTGTCTACAAATATCCCCTGTCTACAAGGACCACCTGTTTACAAGGGTCACCTGCCTACAAGGATCACCTGTCTACAAAGACCACATCTTTCCCCCGTTGAAAATGGATTCTCTTTGAAACATGTACTAAAAGAACCTGTCTTCAAAGACCCCCTGTCTACAAAGACAACTATTTGTGTTTCCCTTGAGTGGTCGCTATAGACAGGTTTGACTAGCATGAGAGTATGACACAATTCGGCTTCAGATGGCATTAGCCTAATCCATTTCACGTTTCTTTATCTTTGAATATATGCAAGTATACTTAGATACCTTATTTGCAGGCAGCTACTTTTTTTTCTTCATCCAAGTGCCATTTATTCACATGTAAAATGATTTTTTAATTTACAACTGACAGTAGTTTTTTGAGGACAGCTAACCATGCCATTGTGTGAACCAAAATTTAAAGGTTAAAAGATTCAGTTTATTTCTGGTCATGTACATGTTATTGCATTGAGAGTGATACAAGGGGTTATTGGATATATGGTTGAAATAAATGACACATAAATGTGGAGCGCCAGGAGTGACAAGTCTGATAGATATGAGCGCTATACAAAAACCAGTTGTTATTATTATAAGAATAACTGTGTATATTGTTTATTGTGAGGGCTTTAAAATCATCAATTGACAACAAGTTGATTTCATTTTAGCTGTACTTTATAAGGAGAAAGATACAAAGAGAGAGAGGGAGAGAGATAGAGGGACAGACAGAAAGATACAAATAGAGAGAGAGAGAGAGAGAGAGAGAGAGAGAGAGGGACAGACAGTCAGTGATAGAGAGAGAGAGAGAGACAGAGAGAGTGAGAGAGGGACAGAAATATACAAAGAGAGAGAGAGAGAGAGAGAGAGAGAGAGAGGGACAGACAGAGACAGAGAGAGAGAGAGAGAGAGAGAGGGACAGACAGAGACAGAGAGAGTGAGAGAGGGACAGAAAGATACAAAGAGAGAGAGAGAGAGAGAGAGAGAGAGAGGGACAGACAGAGACAGAGACAGAGAGAGAGAGGGACAGACAGAGACAGAGAGAGTGAGAGAGGGACAGAAAGATACAAAGAGAGAGAGAGAGAGAGAGTGAGAGAGGGACAGAAAGATACAAAGAGAGACAGAGAGAGAGAGAGAGAGAGGGACAGACAGAGAGAGAGAGAGTGAGAGAGGGACAGAAAGATACAAAGAGAGAGAGAGACAGAGAGAGTGAGAGAGGGACAGAAAGATACAAAGAGAGAGAGAGAGAGAGAGGGACAGACAGACAGATACATGTAGATAGAGAGAGGGACAGAGAGAGAGAGAGAGAGAGTGAGAGAGAGAGAGAGAAACACAGAGACAGAGAGCGTCATGCAATGTTTTAAGCAGTACTAGTATTGTGTATTGTAATGTTTCTGAATCATCGAATGACGAATAGATGTACAGTAATAGTGCCTTCTTACAGAGAAACATACTAGGAGAGGAATAGCGCATACCTTATCAACTTCTGGACATGTAGCAAAGTCTTGTGAGGAAAGGAATGTGAAGAGAGATTCTCCTTGACTGGGCTGGGGGAAATACCCATCACATGCTGGAGACACACTTCCTATATAATGTATCAAAACAAGGTCCAGGGAGAGAGAGAGAGAGTGAGAGAGAGAAGAGAGGAATGTGAAGAGAGATTCTCCTTGACTGGGCTGGGGGAAATACCCATCACATGCTGGAGACAAACTTCCTACAATATACAATACAATATATCAAAACAAGGTCCGGGGGGTGTTTCACAAAGATCCTAAGTTGAACTTATCTCTAAGTTGGACTTAAATATTATGGAGAGCTATTTGTAGCCTTAAAATGAACTTAAATTCAAAAGCAAAAATTCAAGAATTTTTTACTTTCAATCAATTCCACATCAAGAACATGAAATCTCTTGATAGAAAATATGAATGATTAAAATCAAACATGTTATGCTTTTTAAAATAACTTTTACAAAATATTTTCAAAGATGCTAACGGCTTTCCAGAATTTTTAAGTCCAACTTAGAGATAAGTTTAACTTAGGATCTTTGTGAAACACCCCCAGATGGTTAACATAACATTTGGAGCTGAAATCAACTTACATGAAGCTTTGGGTATCTCCAAAATAAAAGTGGATTTATTAGTCATGACTAACTCTTAAAAAGCAACTAAAGGTTGCACAAGAATGGAACCAAAAGGATACCACTTCCATAATGCCCAGTGCTGAAAAAGTTCATGTACATGTAGCAAGCTAGTGAGGCATTAGGGATAGACTCTAAATAGACTCCGCACATTTTACAACATTTCTCTGGATTCAGGAACAATCTTCTGCAGACTTCATTTCATAATGAAGTTTATGATTATCTATTGAAAGACTTGACATGAAATTCCATGACAAATGACTACAAAATTTACTGTAAAATCTATGTGCGCTCAGTCAGTAGAGCGACGCCTCACAACCGGGAGGTCGTGGGTTCGAACCCCGGTCACGTCATACCAAAAGACGATAGCCTAATAATAGCCTAATAGCCTAATAGTCCACTCCAAATTTTATTAAACCGAAACGGAAATTCTTTTTGCCCAATTGATCGTGAGCCCGGCGGCCACTGAGCAGCGCCAGATCGACATTGCTCTATCCCTTATAATTACGGGAGTTGCTACTACTTGTTTGGCGTTCAGCGATAAGGGATAGAACAACGTCGATCTGGCGCTGCTCAGTGGCTGCCGGGCTCACGATCAATTAGGCAAAAAGAATTTTCATTTTTGGTTTGATTTAATAAAATTTGGAGTGGACTTTAAAAGATTATTATTATTATTATTGTTATTATTATGCATTGCTTTGGTAGTAAATGTTGACCTCCAAGAATGGTGGACCTGTTTACTCACCCACATCTGATGCCCGCCTTACAGTGAGAGGTTGAGATGGAAGAGAAGAGGAATAGACCTCACCCTTAGATCTCTTCCCATTATAAACCTTGTCCTCAGGAACAGATTCTCTCCTTAGCCCTTCTAACCCTCCCCCTCTCACATTGGTGATTTGATCTGACATGGAGCGGGCGTGTCTCTTGTACTTCTGCTGGACCGGAGGAGGGGAGGGCGTCGCCGCCACGTCGAGCTCCTCGCTGCTTCGCCGGTGGAGAGGCTTTGCCTGGCGCCCTCTACGAGCAATTTCACCCAGGAAACCAAACTGATCCTCCTCTTCCTCCGAAAAGAGGAGCTGTTCACTGCTGGAATGGAGAAGAGATTGGTGACTTGAATTCAAGGAGTTTCCATTTTTTAAATCCTTAGTTCTGTAGCCTGGCTCAAGACCGCTGCTTGCACCAGGCTCTGATGAAAGTGAGGTGGTACTCTTGGAAAGCACAAGTTCTTCCGTGGATGATTCTAAGGTTCTTGCAAAAGCGGAAGAGGAAGGCGAGTTGTCGTAGGTGAAAACCAACTTGCTGTGGATATCATGGCTGTCGTTTTCATCTTCTATATCCTCATTATCTCCAACATCTTCCCAATACATAGCACTGTCTCTCCTGGAACGAATGGAAAGATCGCTGCTACCGTTTTGAGCTACTGCGCTAGAGTTTTTTCGCTTGGCAGAGAACCGATTGTTTTCATTCTCGTCAAATTTCCTCCTTGCAACAGATGTCCTCAAGAGGGCAGTATCACTCTCCGCACGAAGGAGACCATGTGGTCTCTGGAAACTCTCTTTCGTGATAGGAATCGCTGGACGATTCAAAAGTGGATCCGTAGCAAATTCAATTCTATTGTCAGTTGTAGCACCAACAGTGCTGGACCCTTGATTTGAGTAACCTTCTAGTAAAGCTTTCAATGCATCTTTGGCAGAGTTTCTGCGGATGTTGGGACTCTGTCCGAAGGCTTGGTCTTCTGTTGTCCCTAGGACCGAGTCTGCCTTTGGGGAGGTGAAGAGGAGAGACTCAGAGGCATGGTGATGGTTCCTAGGAGTTGGAATGATATCCCTTCCTGATGACATACTGGGTGCTCTGGACAGCCTTGGACTTCCATGCGAAGCTACAGATCCAGGGAAGGAAGGACACTTTTGAAGCTGTGTACAAGATTGAAAACATTGAAGGGAAATAATGATTGATCTAGAAAATCCAAGGATTCTCTCTTAATCTATTATCGTAAAATGTGCTGAAATGATAGAAACTGACCTCTTCTACTTTTCCTTGTTTTTCTAACATCAATGTTGTTATGGCAAACACATGAAGATGAAAGTTTAATTTCATGAATGATTGATTTAATTTATATATTAAGCATTTTTTAAATTTTTACCAAAGCGACTTCATTTAATAGTGATTGCAACACTGTTTTATAAGAAGGCCTTGTTAATCAACAAACAAACATTTAGAAGTAAACAAACATAAGATAAAAACAGCAAAATGTTAACTCGGCGAAAGTAACATTCTTAAAGACAGGACATTTTACTAATTTTCCTTGTGTTAGGAGCATCTAATTATAATGAGTTATATATAATTTTAAATCCGAGGACCTCCTCTTTTAAAATCAATCCTAAAATCATATCTGGCAACTGGTTGGTGGTGTGCGGTGTCGGGTCACACATGTGTTTCTTACCAAGTTAGGATCGACCTGAGCTAGAAGGCGAGCATTGTTTTGTTCTACGGCTTGAAGAAGGATGTCTAAGGCTGAGGAGTAAGCTGTGTTACACAGGAAGGCATCATCTGAAATTGCACAAAAAAGAAAACACCTTACTTTATATGTATTGTTCAGAAGTTGGAAAAGACAACAAAATATATAATAGTAAATAAATGTATTAAAGTTTTAATAAATGATAAATAAATGAATAAATAAATGAATGATTAAACGAATAGGAAAGAAATACATTAACAAATAAATAATAACAACAACAAACCACAAATAAGTATATAAACAGATTAAAAGCATGAAGAAAAAAAAATTGGCTAAGCAACAATAGGTGTTTGCAACATTTGGTAAAATATATTATTTGAATATTTACAATCATTCTTTATACTTCATTCTGGACGTCCAACAAGACGATGTACATTGTACATGTACATGTACAAATGTACATCAGGCTAAAACATGCATGCGCACGTCACACAGGTGTATATAAACAAGCTAGATTAAAGAGATTGAATAGTTAAATATTAGTCCAAATCTTACCTACACCTGTAAACCTAAGTAAATGAAGAAATTATCATCTAGACAGAAGTATACTTGCTAACCACATACATGTACAACACAGTGCGCAGTATATGCACTCATGACCAATCAGCAGAAGCACCGTTCTCTCAAAACTAAATTATACGTGTACATGTACATGTAGGCCTATACATGTAGGTAGACCACTTAATGGTAAGAACAGAGAGGAGAATATGAAACTAAACCTAATTTGTTGCATTCAGATTGTCATGGATGAGAAGGAAATAGATATATATATGTTTATGTAAAGTGATTAAAGGGATAGTATAGTGTTTAGAAGTTAAATGGAATTCATCAAAAAACCTTGGCTATATTGTTTTACTTTCAACAGGCATAATATTAAAATAACAGGAAATCATTGGCACAAGTTTTTCAAATGAAGAATTTTGGAATGTTATAGTAAACTGTACCTTTATTCGCATTTTAATGGCAAAACTTTCTTTGCAAGGCACTTATTGTGTCATGTACTACATGTACATGTACACCAATGCACATGATCAACAGCATTCAAATGAACAGCAGTGCTTCCCCAAATTTACATCATTTTAAGAATTAGTGCAGGTACCATGTACATGTACATGATGTACATGTAAGTTTGCATTTAAGTAGCCACACGTACACTGTTCATGTACAGGGCCTCACTGTATTACATGTACATGCAAGTTCAGATTATCAGATTATCAATCCCCCCCCCCCCCCTCCTCCATTCAGACTTCTTAAATTCATATGAAATTTATTATCTACAGTATATATAATAAGTAGTTGCATTATTTTCAAGTCTAAATGTTAAAGCTAATGACCTCTAGTATTAAGGGAATCCTTGTCGAGAGAGCATGGCTATAATTCATCCTGGATTGTTTATCCTGCAGTAGATTGATTGTTTGAACCAGTAAAATAAAAACGAACGCACAGAAATTTACTGGAAATAAATACCAGAACTCTCATTTGCACATGATGACCTGTGTTTAATAATAAGCACATGGTACTGGTGTCAGGCCTTTATAACATTTCAAGATGATTTACTTTCTATGCTCATTACTAGCCCCTATTAAACATTTTCTACAAAATCATTTGGCACATGTCATTAATTTGTAATCTGAAACATTCGGCGTATAGTTTTGTTGGATTCTGTGAGAATTTATTTTCTATCTTTACCAGAAATCAAACTTACATGTACCTTTAAAGGAATAGTTGAGTTTCGGTATAGAGGGCGCTACACAAAACAATTTATTTGTGAGATACCGGTAATTAAAAAATGAGTGTCAAATTAGAAAGAGCATACAATTTAAAAGACAAAATCATCTTTGTTTGATCAAAATCGTTGTCATCCACTCTGTACATGTATATGTACAGTGTATGCCCCTTTCCCTGAATCCGATGACCAGGGTAATAATATATCTGTAAAGCGCTTAGGCATATCGTTGAATCAATGTATTAAGCGCTATATAAAAAACAGAATATTATTATTATCATTATGACGATTCTAAATGAAGTTTCTTACCAGAAGATGTCTGGACCACTCTAAATGCCCCTTTCCTAAATGACGATTCTAAATGACATTTCTTTACAGGAGACGTCTGAACACTCTATCATTTTACAAGACTACAAACTAGCTCAATGACCATGTGAGTAGGAAAGATAGACTTACATGTATGTCTCTGTTTCATGAGATCATTTCCTCTTTATTACAGATCAATGGCAGGAAATACCAGAATAAACCACACTCTGTCTTCGATATTCCGTCTTTCAGAAGAAAAACATTGTCTAAGACAAGTCAATATTTTAGAATTTAAGCTTATCGCAAGAAAAAAGGAACATTGAATGTATCAATAAAGATCTTAATATTATACAAAATTTCAGGCTTTTGTACATTTATGTGGGATTTGTGCTTTATATTCGCTATAAATTGCTGTCATGTACTTGTTAAAGCTTATCTGCCGTAGTTTATAGGAGGGATTAGACCGCCCTGCAAGGTCACTGGACAGGTGGTTATCTCATCAACTCAGCTCTCAGTTACCATAAGAAATAGAGGATCATGGGGGACCAATGGTCACCGATTAGGCATCGTTTGTTATATAGAGGGTGCAAGTAGCTATAAGTAGTGCAGTGGGCCTTTAAAATTTGACAAGTACAAACCTGTACATGTACTACATTTTTCTTTAAAATGTACATATTTTCATCGCCTACCGGTATTTTAATAATATACTGTAGATAATGTGTACGGTACATGAATTACTTACATGAATTACTGTTTACAGTAGCACATAATTTTTCTTTACAGCAAACAAGTTCATCATCCCTTGTCTACATATTCATTAGTGAATGTTTGCTTATACATGTGTTTAATAGGGCAGTGATACAAATTGCATATAATTACACCACTCTGGGTGTGTAATTAATAATTTCCTGTAAACAAGTAATCCACTATACTCTGCCCAATACTTAATTCCCTTTAATTCTGAGGTCGTGGCCGATTTCCTAAACCCTCTATTACCAAACTACAGCCAGGGTCGATCCAGTCATATTTTTAGTCATGATCATAGTATTACATGGTCACTAACTCACCCTACATTATACCTCCAAACTACACAAATACCGTACACACGGGACTATTTACAAACTTGTATTTTCTGTTGTCCCGAATTCCAAATGCACATTCACATTCTAGGTACAGATTCATTAAAAATGATTAATCTATTAAATCATAGACTCATGTACTGAAACAAACATGATACAAATTAGTGGTTTATGGAATGATAAACTTTAAAATGGTATTTGAATTTGAATTTGAATTGAATTTGAATTTGAATTTATTAACAACAAGATAACAAAATGTTACAAACGTACATTCAAGTGGGTAACAGAATAACATGTCTATACTTATCCATGTACATGAGTTACAAAGAAAAAGAAAATATCCATAGTTGAACCATATGTACAAATTAAATTAATCATGTATCATGTCATATCAAACCTGTGAATATACGTAGAGATTTGTGGCTGGAATTCAAATTCACAGAGTTCCAATAGCGTATACAGTAAGTGATTTAAATAAAGGATATTTTAAACTTAAAAACTTAAAATGTTCTTAAAGGGAGAACCAAAAGTTAGCAAGAGTGCTAGTCGGGATTGGTTCTCCGAGTTTCAAAAGATGCATGCAGTCATATTAATATTTATTTTGACTTGATTTAATATTATTTGGTCCTTATGATTCATCTCTGCTTTTTGAGTGTTTGGAGATCAAGGTACCGGTACTGTTTAGATATATTTAGTATAACAAAATTCATAGAAGAACATCCCTCGTTCTTGGTATTTACAAATTAAAGACAAATGCTAGAGTCATCTGCACTTTAGAGAGAGATTGAGAGAGAGAGAGAGAGAGACAGAAAGGATTTCAGAGAGAGAGAGAGAGGTTTTTGTTTAAAGCAGAAATAACATTCACATTGGTTTAGATTTGAATCAAGTTTTTGTATGGATTACAGTACAAAGTTTAATACAGACTGTGCTTTTAGGCTATTTTCACAGCGATGGACTATTTCCTCTTTGCTTGTTTAACTACTAGGTTTGATGCGTGGACCATGTAGAGTGTACATATACATGTACCTAGCACGTTTACATGTACATGCACTTTGTACCAAACTATCAATGTAAACACATCCACTTTGAAAACCAATCAAGTTGTTAATTACGGTTCATATGATGCCATACGCATATTAAACATTTTCAATGAATAATTATCCTAGTTTTGCCACATGATTATTGCATGTAGTACACACATCAATTCCGTAAGGAAGTGAGAATGTAATTGTAAATGATGGGAAGCAATAAATATAACAAGTCGTGAAAATCAATTTCCTGTACATGTATTGTTTCAATTTGTTGGTGTGTGCACATGGATGGACTTTGACCCCAATTTTGTATCACCCTAAAAGTCTAGTGCATAGATGGCCATCCCAATAATATTTCTCATGATTTAATTTTGATCCTATACTACAGTGTACATGTACTATTTACATTGGTATTGGATAAATTTGTTATATACACTGTTTTATTTTTATGCTGCCGGCCTAGTAAATGCAGTATACATGTACCATATGTCTGATATTACGACACAGAATTTCATTATCTTAATTATTGCATATACTGTACATGTACTAGCAGGTCATTGTCCTGAAGAAAAGCAAAATCACTATTTCTTGATTTTTTAAATTTTCATTTCATTTTCTCCACCTTAGTTGTGGGCAGGGGGCAGATTTACTAGGCAGGGAGGGGGTATACCTGTTGCTACTTTGGTGTGTGAACATTGTGCATTTAAAAGTTAAACAGACACACAGTCTACATACTCTCTCTCTCTGTCTCTCATCTTTCACTCTTATCTTCATTTCTTTTTCTTCTCTGCTGTACACTTTATCAAGAACGCAGATCGGATCATTCCTAAGCATTTTTTTCAATTCGTTTTTAAAATGCACCTCTTCCTTCTAATAGATTTCTTTTAAGAAATCATGTTGTGTCCACATTTAACACGGATTCACACAAATTATCATGATCTTTGAAGAGCATTTTCTATTCTTTTTTTTTATCCCTTTCCTTCATCTCTTCCCTTTCCCTCACCTCTTCTTTTTTCTTCATTCTGGGGGCCATTCAATTGGCTGGGGGGGGGGGGGGGGGGCATGTGCAGAGAAGGAAAGTTTCAACTGCAAACATCTGATCTTGAGTAAAACCACTCTGAAGTTTTATTCCTTGAATGACATTTCAATCTCATTATCAAGGGAAACTTTCAATGCCAAATTACCGTAATCACCACTGCTCTCAAAATAATTACAAGTACTTGAGACAGAAATAATCCTTTAATTTGATCTAGAATTAGATGCATACATGCCAGTATGTGGACATGGCATCTCAAGTTTATTGAAAATAGAAAGTTTTCAAAACTGATTAAAATTAGAAACAGTACTCGAGATAAAAATAATGATGCAGCAGAGAGAGGATGATTAAGAATGATAAATGAAAGGGAAATGAATCTTAAACACAATTACACTTCAAGAAAATAACCCTTTATAACATCATTTGTTTCTAATTGAAAACAAAATAGTAATTGATACTTGCTCATGTCATTAAAACCAGAACATATACCGGTAGATGAATATTAAAACGGGTGAGGGAGTAAGAAAGATATAAATGTAGACAAAGACAAAGAGTGAGAGTGAGAGAGTGAGGGAGAGAGAGAGAGAAAGAGAGATATTGAGAGAGAGAGATATTGAGAGAGAGATATTGAGAGAGAGATATTGAGAGAGAGATATTGAGAGAGAGATATTGAGAGAGAGATATTGAGAGAGAGATATTGAGAGAGAGATATTGAGAGAGAGATATTGAGAGAGAGAGAGAAAGAGAGAGAGAGATATTGAGAGAGAGAGAGAGAGAGAGAGAGGATTGACAGAAAGAGAGAAAGAAAAAAGAGACAATTTAAAAGAGAGAGAGAGAGAAAGAGAGAGAAATAAGAGGGGGGGGGGGGAGATTTTTCAAGCACTTGGCACTCTATTCTACATATACCTTTACACAATTTAGTCCAGGGTTAAAACTATGAATTTTTTGTGTGTGGGATAAACAGTACTGGGATATCTTCCATTGATTACCATCATAAGGGCATGTATCGTACACCCCCCCCCCCCCTTACCCTCCCACACACACACACAAACACACATCCTCATGAATTCTTACCTGAGTAAAATTCCCTGAGGTGACTGGTTACTGAAACTAACATCCTGAGCTGGTAACTGAGAGTATGGTTCTCCAGACTATCCTGTAACCATAGCAACCCCTTGATACGGCCCTCCTGCTCCGCTCTGCGGCTGAGCTGGTCTATAGAGGGGGCTAGCACGGGCTGGATACGACGGAGTCCAAAGACAAAATTCCAGTAGTCTTGATCAGGACACTACAATAAAATAATTAGGAAAATCTTTATCATGAGCACATGAACATGCACACTATACACTGTAGAGCTGTACATACATGTACATTTATTAATTCATTCATTCAGTGAAAATAATACACGGGAGCTCGGGGCGAAATAGCACCCAAAACAGCCCTTGAAAATCAGAAAAGAGCCTTCGTAAATTTGCATAGAGTCCAATGAAAAGAAATTTTAAACTGTTATTTTCATGCAGGCAAGCTTGAAATGTAGCCCCCAATAAATAAATATTATTTTTTTCCCTGCATTCATTCATTCTCTTTTACTCCCTTTGCAGGAATCCTCTCAGTGTGCCCAAATATCAGCTTTCCCATTTCCAAATGTTTTCAACGTACATGTAATTTTGTTATCAAGGTACATGTATGAACTGTCTACATTAAAGTAGATATTCATTGAATTCAATAACTAATTTTATGTTCATTATTGCAAAGTTGAAACTTTGATTCGACAAGGTACAGTGTAATCAAAATTCAGTGCTTGGAAACATTCGAAGTAATGAATATTATAAATTACAAAACGCTTAAAAACAGCCCCGGCATAGCACCTGAAGAGCTCTCCGAACGCTGCTGAGATGTGTGAGATCACAGTATGGACATGATTTGCACAAGCAGACAATGTCCCATGACATCTCACACATTTTCAGTGCCTGTGTTTTCATCTTCTTTTGAGTTCTTTCTCTTATCACTACAGTCATGCTTAATGTATGATCTATTGCCTCACTCTAAACCCGCGCATGGTTTTATTTTGATGACAAATGCACTGATACAAAAATAATGGAATCTGTCGCTTGTAAACAAAATAAGATGCCATTGTATATTCAGCTGCACACACCGCGGTATGTTCGGCGTTCCAAGAGGGAACAAATGCCGTCCTTAGTATCATTCTGGGGGGTTTTCAATTTGAAAGTCTGGTTACTTTGATTGTTAATTCATCCCTATCCTGTGTGTTTACAAGCAAAAGATTTTAGTTATCAGAATCTGGCCATATCCCCTTTTGAATGGTTTGACATGCCATTATATTCATATACACTTAAAACTCATTATAATTTGACAAATAATAGCTTTGCAATTATGTGCATTCTTTATGGGATGTTGTCTGCTTGGGCAGTATTGGTCCATATAGTGACGTCATTAAAACATCGTTATTTTTCCGGCGAATCTCTCGTATATTCCAGCTCGAGCTGCTATGGAGGTGGTTGTATTTGTTATTTTTTTATAAATCACCCGATATGTAGTTGACCTAAAACTTGTACGATGGCCAACTTTTAGCTCACCAGTTTCTAGTGATACATTAGTTGACATATTTGTGATTTTCTTTGAATTTCACCTTTAAAAGACTATGTCACTGCACGAATATGAAGAATTGGGTGCCCAAATTTAAGGTGGGGGCTGCAGAATATTGATAACATTTAAAATGTAACTAATGAGCTTACAGCATGAGGTATAAGGCCATGCTTTAATATTCCATCGAGTTGGTTGGCCAATCTGTTGAGACCACCATACATGGACCATACATTGGAGGCATTGGCAGCAAGCAGACTCTCTATCGTTGCTTTCAACTTCCACAGTAATCCATAGTGCTCAGGGTATCTGTAAAGCAAAACAAAATTTTGGTAATAAGACAAACTCTCCTGAAGTGGAATATTAAATGGATCAGAAGCGAATTCCTGCATCCTATCTTCATGTACATTCCCATATTTGATGGGAAAATGTACTTGTTGAAAACCAGTTTATTATTCAGTAGCGACTAGCAATCAATTGATAATTAATAATCAATATTGCATGACATCTGGCCACCGATGGCCCTTCAAGAAGCCAGCGAGGCATACCTAGTTGGCCTCTTTGAGGACACCAACCTGTGTGCCATCCACGCCAAGAGGGTTACCATCATGCCCAAAGATTTTCAATGGCTTCTATTGGTAAATCAATAATGATAAATCAAAAAAGCTGTTCATGATGACCATGGCCCGACTGGAGATGCCGGTATCTGGATCATTTTTTTTTTTTTAAATGCAAATTTGCCATGTAAATGTACAGTACATGTATGTATGTGCCCCTCCATTCACGAGCACCCACTTGTAATCACTAAACGTACAGGTACTTCAAATTGGCTGAAGCGGTAACGTCAATGTGATAGAGTGCCTGCTACTTTCCCATCTGTTCCAAAATATAAAATGACTAAAATCTAAATTTGTCAAGAATTCATTGCTTAGGAGGGTCTATTCTTTTTAGACGACCTATAGTAATATGCTATCTATAATATATTGTGTGTAGTGCCCCAGGGGAGAAGGAACTTCAATATAAACTTTTGCCATTTTGTTTCTGTTATTTTTCTGCTTTCATACAAATCAACTTTAAATAATACAAGGGTTGGATTGCCCTTTAAGCTCAAGCTATTTTTACCAAATATCTTCAGATTTTTATCTTCACTCGCATATATTCGTAGATGATAATGAAATATGGAGCACAATTACTGCATCTATGACGATTTTTTTAAATATTTGGATATTGTTTACTATTTGATAATTATTCTATTGATTAGGTACCATAGACCGTTTCTTCAGTGCTTTTGTAGAGTTGGAAATCACATTTAAAGATAAAGACCAGTTATGGTCATGTGATTGCATTGTATAAGAAACGTAGTGGTATCGATCATAAAAGGTTGATCATTTAGCATTGGTGTGTACTGCAAGGTTCTGGAATCATCAAAATGATAAGAAATTTGGCCCAGTCTTGGTAAAGTTATTATCACTGTACACAGAAAGATGTATATGGGACTACACGACACATGCATCATATCTATCAGGTCCAAATAGATAAAATAATTTACCAAATATATCAATTGGTAGGCGGTTTCTCTGTAAAATTTGTATTATCACGTATTAGTCAAAACATATTCTTTCACATGATTGGTAATAATCTGAGCTTCCATTTCATTTTTTGAGAGGGGGGCGTTTCCAAAACTGGTCTTTACCTTTAAAGCAGCACTCTTCCATTTCTAACAAGACTTAACCGTACGCCACTTCCATTGGGCTTGGTTGACCCTCACTTCCCATTGGAAGCTCAGTGTTTCCTATAGACTCTAGGAGATAAGAACTAAATCTCTAGCTAATCTACATAGATCTGGGGGGTGTTTCACAAAGATCCTAGGTAGAACTTAATTCTAAAATTGGACTTAAAAATTATGGACAGCCATCAGAGTCTTAAAATGAAATATATTCAAAAGCAGAAATTCAAGTATTTTATACTTTTTATAAATTCCACATCCAGAACATGAAATCTCCTAGATGATAGAAAATATGAATGATTTGAATAAACAATTAATGCCTTTCAAAATGACTTTTACAAAATATTTTCAAAGATGCTAATGGCTTTCCATAATTTTTAAGTCCAACTTAGAGATAAGTTCAAGTTAGGATCTTTGTGAAACACATCCCCAGATAGAGGTATACCTTGTGTCTTTGGATGTGTCAGTAGCAGGATCAGGGCGCAACGCAGACATTACAATAGCCTCTGCTTGGGGACCTTCATCACTTGACGCTTTCGCTCGACAGATATGGCCTGGTTCTATTTCTTGATTGTATGGCTAGAGCTGTATGTCTTTGCGATCTACCGTAAACAAAAACCTATTGACTGTGCACAGTATAAAAGAAAGGACAACAAAATGGTTTATTACTACAAATATCACCTTCCGACAGCTACATACCCATGTATGTAGAAAGGTATTAAAGGGAAAGTCCACCCCCAAAATAAGTTTGTTTCGATAGAGGCAGAATAATAAGAAAATCAGGTGAGTGAAAGTTTGAGCAAATTCTGAATGAAAATAAGAAAGTTATGAATTATTGAAGTTGTGATCAATCAAATACAAATTGGCAACTCTGTGACTTATTATAAGAGCTCTCCTTCATTTGCTTTGTGCATAATATTCCATAAAATCATGTTTTCTTCATTATTGATGACGGAATATATATTTGTTCCTTGCAGGGGGAGTATAGAAACATATTTGCAATTATTATATTTAGGGTGCATGTATGGTTGAAATTTTTCTTGAGGGAAAATGAAAATTTTAGATTTTTTTAGTACTGAGCAAATGGAAGTTGAGCTCGCATGATACGTCATAGGGTTGCCAATTTGTGTTTGATTGATCACAACTTCAAAAATCCTAACTTCCTTATTTTTAATCGGAATTTGCTCAAACTTTCACTGACTTGTTTCTCTCATTTTTCTACTCCTATTAAAACTAACTTAATTTCAGGGTGGACTTCCCCTTTAAAATTGTTATTTGCATATTTCTTAAAGAATAGAATTTGTATGCTGGTTCTGTCAATATCGTTCTATCTAGCAACATCATTGGATATTTAAATGTGAGCAAATTTAAGAAAACCAATTAACCAAATCATACATGTAATATTAAGTCCATTACTAGCACCAGCACTCTGATTTATTCATCTGTACAGTAAGCTGCACAGCAAACTTCTTTCCCTAGGTACTGTAATCAAATGTGTTGTCATGAAAGGGCGGCGCTAGTTCAGAATCATATCCAGGTTTTGACCCGGATTCTGGCGTGAAAATACCCTAGAGGTCTACCAAAACATACAAAATATCAACTAAATATTCAATTGTTCAAATAATGGTCATGATTTAAACGTTGACATGTTTCATACCTGTTTCGTGTCAATTTTCTTATCTTTTGTAGAGTATTTTTCCTAAAAACAAAGACTTAATAGTTAAACACTCACACGCACGCACTCCACCATCGGTACGGTATGCAATCCACTTCCTCGGTTGCAGAAAATAAAAAATGACATCAACATCGCAAATCTAAAACCCTCAAACAGTCACTCAATCACAGTGTCAAAGTCAAACGGCAATCATGCCAACTCTACTAGACCCTACTAAACTATATGATGTTAATTTACTTATTTATCTGTTCAATCAATGAATTAACAATAACAAGCCATATTATGATCTATACAGAAAATTTTCTCGACTAAGGCTCCCTATCAATATACAGGTCTGTACATGACATTACGTAGGCCTAGGCCTCCACGCCCACGGTGAGGTGTAGGGCTGAGTGACGCGGGCCATAATTCGGCCTAGCCCTAGCTTGCGCTGGGCTGGTTGCGCCTACCGGTGCGGCAGGCAGTTCAGGAGAAGCAGCACCAACAAACAAGACGAGCTCCCATCATTCAAGGCAACCTAAAATTGACTTTTCTTCCATCACATTGACTTCAGGATGAAGAGTTTGCACCATACAACACTCATCATCATACTTTTAAATACAAATGCATACTACATAAAAGAAAAACTTGATAATACATCAAAACATACCGTTGTTTTTCAAGTTCCGGTTGACTAAATAACTTGCAAATCTTCCAAAAACGCCTACCGAAATTCTATACACAAGTGCAGTAAGTGCGCGTGTCATCGCCCAATGTATCATGCATGCAATAAGCCAAAGGTCAATTTTACGTTTTATCAACATAACTGTGTGTCCTTTTCTGAAAGATGGCGCTCTACTACTAAATTTTCCAGAGCCAATTTATGGAAAAATACCCCAACACCCCGGTATATGATTGAAATCAGGAACAAACTAAGAAGATCACAGGGGGGGGGGGGGGGGCACAGGGGGCACGTGCCCCCCCCCCCCCCCTGCCAAAAAAAAAAGAAAAGGAGAAAAAAGAGGGGGAAGAAAAAAAGAGAGGAAAAAGAAAAAAGGGAAGAGAGAAAGAAGAAGAAAAGAGGGAGGAAAGAAAGGGGGAGAGGAGAAAAAGGAGGGGAAAGGGAAAGAGAGAGGAGAGAAAAGGCGGAAAAAAAAGAAGAAAGGCGGAAAGACGGAGGAGAGAAAAGGAGAATAATGAGAAGGGAAAAGAAAGAAAAGGGGAAGATATTATAAGAAGGTTTTTTTTTTTACCGGGTAAGGGGCTGGGGGGGGGGGGGCATGCAATTTTAAGTCGAACATGACCAATATCAAAGATTTTATCTCCTTTATAACTTATAACTTATAACTTATAACTTAGTCTTGAATTAATTTTCCGATATACCTATTCTAAGTGCTCTTTCAGCATCCAGATTGTCCCCGCCATTAATCCTGCCACATTTATTGTCATATTATTTTCTGTCATCCCTGTGGCCGCGAAGTTTCTATCCGTTTCGCAAGCACTTTTTTTTTCCATCGCCTACATGTAATGCTTATTGCTTCCAGTTTGCAAAATATCCCAGTGGCGGATCTGTGGGGGGGGGGGGATGGGGGAGGGGTTAGGGCGTTTAACCTCCCCCCCCCCCCTTAGGCTGCCAAGTGAAAATGTGATGTGTATAGAAAAACGCCATCAATTGTGTCCAGACCACACAGTATCCGTATCGTCATCGGGTCAAACCCCCCTTGAACTGTTACTTGATTTAAAAAGACGTTATCGTGCATTGCTTTTTTATGGTCTCCATTGTGTCAGTAGATGCCAGGAAAACATCACTTACGGGGGTTCAAAATAGCAACAACAACAAAATCGCCTCGCCGCTTCGCGGCTCGTGGACGATGCTCCGTGTCGTCATTGGGTCAACCCGCCCCCCCCCCCCTTAGCAAAAAGCCAGATCCCATCATCCGCCCCTGGATCCCTACTCTTTGAGGGGGTAGGAAAAAGCAATTTTACGTCATATTACTACAGGAAGTGCCTGAAAATGCACCCAATGTGGTTCTCAAATTGCAAATGCTTCCTACTCAGGGAGGGGGTTCTGACCCCCTCCCAGACCCACCACCGCTTGGTCGCTCCGCTCCCTCGCCGCTGACGCCTCGCTCCATCGTTTTTCATATATTTCACCCCATGCGATTTTGTGCCCCCCCCCCCTCCGGTAGGAAATTCCTGGATCCGCCACTGAGAATTGTTATTAAACTTTAACTTATGTGTATTTTACTTTCTTTCTTGAAGTACTTGATGGTCGATTGCCCAAAATTATACAATTTCCACACAACTGCGCCAGGAGTGTCATTTTGACAGACATGGCGCATTAATGTTCACTATTATTATTATTATTATTCGTGTTGAAACAGCTTAAGGAAGCATATTATTAATTCAGGACATAATTTGCAATAATAGAAGAATACAATACAAAGCATATTACAGTAATAATTGACTAATACCTTGACTGGAGCAAGCAAGCAGATAATTAAGATTAAACAAAACATAGGTTAAAGTCTGTATTCAAGTACTAAAAAAGAAGTCGTCCATTTATGTCACAACATGCAGACAGCATTGGTATTTTATAAGGTCCTAATACGAAGCAAAAATTGATTAGTGCGATGTAATCTGGGGAAATTCTGGAATTCTGGCCTACTTAAACTTCAAAATAGAGCCCTTCGTTGTGTATTAGATGTGGATTGGATGTATCCGTCTGAACTATTATTTACAAAATTAGATGCCAAAAGACCTGAGGGGAGGTGAAATATACGCACTCTATACGACTATGATGTGCAACATTGCACATGATATGCTACCAGAGAGCACATGTAATCAATTTGTATTTAGTAACAGTAATTATGTTTTAAGATTTTAATACAGATTCACATTCAATATAGAGGAACAAAACGATGGAATTAATCTTGCTCTCTCTCTCTCTCTCCCCTCTCTCTCTCTCTCTTTCCCTCTCCTCTTTCTCTCTCTCTCTCTCTCTCTCTCTCTCTCTCTCTCACACATCTCTCTCTCTCTTTCTTTCTCTTTCTCCGTCTCCCCTCTCTCTCTCTCTCTCTCTCTCTATGCACCAAATCGAGCCATTCATGCATCCATTAAAAAAAAATCTTTAGCTTTTGATGGGGCACATCCCCCCACAGACACCCCCTGTGTTCTTGTTCTTGTTAGTTGAACTTTAAGGTATAGACCAGTTCTGGTCATGCGATTGCATTGTGAAAGAAACGTTGTGGATTCGATCAGAAAAGATTGATCATTTAGCATACAAGTATAGGTGTGTACTGCAAGGTTCTGTAATCATCAAACTAATAAGAAATTTGGCCCAGTCTTGGTAAAGTTACAAGCAGTGTACACAGAAAGACGTATAGAACTACCCTATATCTATCTAGTCCGGATAGATATAATAATTTACCAAATATATCAATTAGTAGGCGGTTTCCCGGTAGAATTTGTATCATCACCTATTAGTCAAAACATATTCTTTCACATGATTGGTAATAAGAGCTTCCATTTAACTTTTTTGAGAGGGGGTCGTTTCCAAAACTGGTCTTTAACTTTAGCCTGTTTTATTTTTAATTTGGCAAAAAGTATGCACCAAATTGAGCCATTTATGCATCAAGTTTGAAGAAATCTGCAACTTCTGAGTGGGGGGGGGGGCGCATCTCCCTCAGACACCCCCTGCGATTTTTGCTTCTGTTCGTTGAACTTCAGACCGTTTTTTCTTTCTTTTTAGTTTTGCAAATCGAGCCCATTCGCCCCCTAATAAATAACATGGCCCCTCCCCTGATCAGATATACTACATCAAAGCAGTGATGTGAGTTTGGCTATCATATCCATAATGGCTTATAATATCATAATTTATGAATTTGTTTCCAGCAGATATTCAACTGCCATATTTGCGAAAATCTTGTATTCCATCTTTAATCATAAGGCTACTCTAAACCTTCATGATATTTTAAAGCACATCAGTGATTATCCTGACCTGTAAAATAGTGTTAATCTTGCTAATGAGAGCTTTACTGTAAGTAGACTCACTTCCGGTCATTTTTAGGAGACTGGCGACCATTTTAGAAGCCACCTTGTCATTTCAAGTTTCCTTATGGCAATAAACCATTGTTAATGTTATGAAAGGATTCTTCGACTCCTAAAATGTGTAGGTATAGACACCAAAATCACATATATCATGGTTTATGCCTTTTTTTTTTAGGTATTCGCAGCCAACTTGGGACGCCATTTTGAAAGTAACAACTTTCTGGAAATCTGATTTTTAAAGATTTTTAGTATGTTGTTCCTAATGCCAAACATTACCGAAAACTGTTGAAAAACCTTTTGTTACAACTTTTGGGGTCAAACGATATCAGAAGAAGCAATGGAAGAATAAGAATAAGAACTAGACATTGAATTCGTCACAGAGACGAATTAGGTGAGAAAGAGGAAATATACGAGTCTAGGAAGAGAGTTATCGAGTTAGGTTGTTGCTATTTCAATATCTGTTTCGTTAGTGCATGTTCATGTGAGAATATCCTTCGAAAACATGATATGAGTGCAATTGCTTGTTCGAAGCATCCAATATTTGTCCTGGTAGGGTGTAAAGCTTGCATTGTCTGGTATTGATCTGGATAAACTGACTACGACATTCGAATAGTCAATAAACTCTCGTAAATACGTATAAGGAGAGGCTGGAAGCAGTATACAGCAGAAACAAGTGGAAGTGGGAGTTCGAATGTCGAAGAGAGAGAGATTTAGAGAGGAGGTAAGTTAAATCGTAATTAATGTGATATGAATCTACCAATATCTAGACACCTAGCGTGTAACACTCTGAACCTTGAATCTAATTCATCTAAAATGACAGAGTGACAATTTGATGGTATTTTCCTAACGTAGTATTTCGTGAATTGAACAAATCAACTCGTGATTGAATTAAATGTTTTTAACAGGACAACAATGTTCGAATAAAAATTAAAAACTAATGTACACTTTTGAATAACAAAACATAACAATGAAAATAACTGCCGCTCATAGCAATTTAATTATTCGACTGCACTTTGTTTGTAAATGAGTTTTAACTGTTATTGCTATCGATTTTTAAATCCAAATAAACAATTTAATTCAACTCAATTAGAGAAAGTCTTTTGCAGTGAACACGATGGATTGTATCCCTTTAAAAATAAAATGTTTAGACTGAGGGAAATATAATATATATCTATTTATATATGTATTTTGCCTGCCAACCTTGTTTGACGTCATCATCATCAGTTACTATAATTTACAGTTTTCAGCCCATACATTTCTATTGTTTCGAACATTTCCACATCCACAGTAATTTAGTCAGCTGACTGCCTAATATGAATGAATTTGAACTGTTGTTGCTGGTTTTTTTTAAAAATCCCAATAAAGCCTTCAATTCAGTTCAATAGACAACGACCTTTTCGTGAGCAAGATTTCCTTTAATTTTTTTTTTAGACTGACGTAAATACTGTTGATTTTGCTTGACAACATGGTTTGACGTCATCACCAGTTACCATAGTGAACATGTTTTCAGGCCATGCATTCCTATTTCCTACACAGTTTAACTTTCATAATAGACACCACAACGTGCAGGGTTTCATAATGAATAATGCACTCTTAAACTCAAAATTGCCCAGTCAACATTCGATCTTAAAGACTCGAGGAGTGAAAACATGTTCAACATAGGAGAATTACACCTTTTAATACAGTGGATCAGTGGATCCATGCATCCCTGTGGGTTGTCATCAAGAAGATATACCATAATTGTGAAGACTTCGTCTTTCCTCGAAATTGTTATATTATGTTGATTTAACATTATATTGAGTTTTAAGAGTGTAAAATCAAGTTCACCTGACGATCCTTCTCTCCTTACTAAACTGCAATATTCAAATATTCAAGGGTAGACGAATTATTCTTTGGCTTATGACGTCAACGTATAATTCATGAGTTCTTGCATGTTTGTGATGTTATTTTGTGCATTTCATTTTGTATGGCACTTGTAAAAAAAAATCTTACTAACATCAATCTCATTGCTCTCAATGCTAAACTTATTTATGATTTATTTCGCATTATCATCACTTTTGTGGTGGTGGTGATGGTGATGGGGTGAGGAGCCAACTGGACCAACACTCATGAATAATATAAATACGCTCGCAGTTTCCTTGCGCAACATCAACATGTTGGCCGTTGATGAGGGGGAGGGGTATTTTATCACATATGTCAGCTACAAAGACAGGTCGTACGTTCATTCCCCTAAATCACTGATCGGCTCAAAGGGCACTAGTGCATCGACTAGGGGGGGGGGGGGGGGGGGGGGGGTAGTGAGCACAATTTGTTTTCTGGCCCTCGAAAAATTGAAAAATTGCACCTCCCCTCCCCCCTTGAGCACCCATCTTCAAAAAAAGGTAAATTTAACGTTAAAAAATGTAAAAATACACTTTTTTCCAGGGGGGGGGGGGACGCCGGCCCCCGCCCCCCCCCCCCCTTGATCCGCCACTGGCGATTTATATAAATCGCAAATAAGTTGCGATTATTATCAACTCTTTGTAAGACGGAGCCCAGACCGACACCAGACCGACACCAGACCGACACCAGACCGACACCGGACCGACACCAGACAGAACACTAAGTTACTTTTTCGCTGATGGCCAAGAAATCATTGGTCGGTTTGGAGTCGGTTTAGCGGTGTGATAGAGCTCACCTAGATGACGGGCAGGAAAGTCATGAATTACGTATAGCTGTATGCAGTCATGCACACACAGGAACTGATAATTGCCAACACATAGCGACCAGGTCGATAAAATACATCTTAAAGAAGGAAGATTAACTAAATAAATCGATTAGAGGCGTGAATGGGGGTGGACAAGACAGTACAAAAGCCCGTCTTCGTCTCCTTGAGAAGAAAAGGGAATTGCACATGCATACAAAATTACATCATGAAAAGGGGGTATGACGTCTTCGATCAAACATGGTTTGCAGAAATCGAGATGAAATTCAAAATTATAAAGGTTGCTATGAAAAGCCAGAAGGCAGAACGCCTTTAGCGTAATCTACGTCACATATAGCATGCATGTTTAGGGTAGCACCATTTTACGGAAATAAAAACTACTTTGATCAAACCATCCTTCTGCCTCAAAACTAAATGAATTATCATGATTACTAGCCACTGATATATTTTATGATATGTTTCGAATCAAACTGAACAAGACTAAACTGAAAAGCTGAAAAATATACAAAACGATACTTTGTTATTTCACTGCCTGAATATAAGATGATCGGAACTCCGAATAATTATGAGGGTTTAATTTCCTCCTCAAAAAAGAAAAGCAAGAGAGAAAGAAAACAATAATATGATGTTGTAGTTGTTTGAATATAAAATTGTTAATTAAAAATGGGGGGGGGGGGGGGGGGTACAGCCCTTATTATCCTGACTTGCATACGCCCATGTATAAAAAGGAATTAAATTAGCCACGCAAGATGAGCGTGCAGTGTTTAATGAACTATAGCAAATAAAAAAGACAACCAAATAATAACAGCAGATCATAAATAGAATAAATCTTTCGACATTGTCAACATGCAGAAGTTTTAGCTCACAGAAATGGGCATGGCTAAAAACTTTAGCTCTGTCAACGGAAACATGTTTGTTTGTCGTGTGGTAGGCTGTCTAGTCGATCCATAAACGATTCCAAATGACATCATGTTTTCATATGTTTTATTAAAAATACAAACAACAACACAAACACAGCCATAATACACAGACCACGCAGGGAAAGGGATCAAAATCATAAACGACCGAGTCACACTCACTAAATATTTCAATGATATCGATACCAGCCGAATCACCCATGACTTTGTCAGTGTTAATTTTATGTCAGTGGAAGATCGAGTCACGCCAATTTGCACATCACTGTGTCGTCTGCGTTCTATGAGCATCTCCACCACCTCCGCAATGCATCTTGAACGTGAACTGACCCGGCATTTCCATGATGGATAGTCTCAAATCGTAGACCCATTTTTAACATTGTCATAACAATGGCTAATACAGCAGCAAAACTATTCAAAATAGATAAACCAGTAGTATATAATTCTTTCGAATTTTGTTTTCTCATGTGTTCTTTATTTACTTAAAACCATGCACACCAGAACTTTAAGATCAAATGCAAAAAATAGTCGTTTACTTACAGAAATACTACTAGTAAACAAGACTACGCGTAGTACGTCTTCGTCGTACGTAGATGGGGAAGAGGATGTAATGCTTTCCTCGTTATAAGCTGAAGCCTGATGTTCTTGTGTACATGGTGTATAGGCCAGTACCATTTGAGCTGTTATGTACTAGAATGTTGGCGGAACATTTATATATTCTGCAAGAATGTGTCATGATCACCATGCTCCCAATACCACGGATAATCATGTGCAGTGATTTATTTATCGGTTAAACGGGATGTGTAAGAATATTTCGATGTGACGGTGAGCGAATACAACAATGCGGTGATGTTTGTATATTAGGATAGGAAGCCATTGGATGTTCCATATCATTAACCTTATATTCATTTACATCCACTAGCAGAGTTTTGTTTTACTTCCAGAGGATGAAATAAAAGCTTATTGTAGCTTGTTTGTGACATGTATTGTGAATACGATAAGCAGTAGAGGAGGATTTTGTTTCCATTAGGAAGGCGAATAAGGATCATCGTAGCTTGTTCCACATGCGACTTTATTTCTTATGCCGTGATGATAATGAGCGAACTCGAATGTTTATGGCTAAGGGCTTTAAGCAAAGCAGTCGAGGTTTTATCTTGTGTTGGATCGAGATGAGAAAGTCAGCATCATTTCGTGTTTAAGACGATGCCAAGATAATGAGTGAAAGTCAATGTCCCGGATGTAAAAGAGCCCAGCTTTCAGCGAACATTTCTATTTGAAAAAGATATGTTAAATGGAGCGGGACGAGAAAATCAGCATCCCTTTGCGTTTGCAATTACGTGCCCTGTGATTCTACTCCTGTCATAGAAAGAATGATAGACTGTATTTTGATTACTGAAGGAGAAGCATGAACATATCGTTACAAATGCTTCCTGCAACTATGCTCATGATGATAATGTTTTACTGACTGATGCAGTAACAGAGGGGAGAAGAGACGGTCAGGTACTCTTTTAGCGAACGCAAGAGACTCAGTGTTGATTTTCTTTTCTTTGAAAGGATCTAAACGTGCTTTAGATCGATCATGTAAGGGGTAAGTTGATACAACAAGTCCGGAATAATGTATGTTCTTGTTAATGTTGATCTTTAGTTTTGCTTTATCAAAGTGAAATCGCTTGAATGAAATCAAACAATATAAGCAGAAATTAAATTAAATTCAATACAACATAAACAATTATTTTCATTTTTTTTTAAATAGATATCAACTAAATACTTAAGTGCAATGAATGTGAATACATAGACAGTGTCGAAAGCATATCAACAGTACTTAACAAAAGTAAAGATTAAATCCTTTAAACAAAATCATGTTTCGGGTGCTCCCTTATAAAACAATATATATAACAAAAAGGAAAGAGAAGAATATAAATGACAGTCAGCGTAGTGAGCATTTTGCACATTGTCAAAAATGTACATACTGATACAAACTATTTTTTGTAACAGGCATAATCATTACCCTTGTTTTGTGATGGTCATACAGTTTATACCTCATTCACACGACCGCCAAACTGACCGAATCCTGCCCATGAAGGACAGTGTAATTTTGGTTCGGTCTTTTACGGTCTGGCTGTTCACCCTTATCTCTTTATTTCTCTCCCTTTCCAGCAAAATGTCACAATACTTATACTCTGTGCATGCTATGAAACCCTACATTAGCTGACTGAGAGCTTATACATGTATTATGACGGAGGCCTAAACAAAGTAATGTTCAACACAAGTATGCCACTTTGTAGGTCATTTTCAATTAAATTAATTAACACACAGAATGAACGGCTCACTCTAAAACCATTAACGTCTTATTGAAAATTAACTAATTTAATAGCGCTAACAATTTGGACAATAATTAGTAAATGACATGAATTTTTTACATCAGAAAAAGGTTGCCTAAGTTAGTGGAGTTATTGCACGCGGAGTTCAAAACGTCACCGCTACATTGAATATATACAGCATCAGAAAGTTTTAAAGTGATTCGGTATTATCTACTTTATCTATCATAGAAAGTATAAATTTAATGTGTCGAATTCGGTGGTTTTAGGCAAAACGCACAATAACAGCAATGCCACCATAGCACCAGTGAGGATCCAAGATTCCCGTGCGGGAGAGGAGAAGGGGGGGGGGGGGGAGGGGGGCACAAGCCCGAAAAATCTTATACTAAAAATATTTATAATAAGGATTTAAAAAAAACCTCTTACTTCAGGAGCCTTATTTTAGCCGGGGATCGAGCGGGAACACGAACACATTTTCCTGCACATTCGTACGTATACCTAACGTGAGAGCACGGTTTGGTTTTGCAGGAGAGGGATGAGGGGAGGGGGAGATCACCTGGACCTTTAATGGAGGACTCCTGATTTGCACATGGCTCAATTAACCAGAAAGTTGACACCATTTGCTAGGCGATCAGAGGCAACAAGGGGTGAGATATGTGCATAATGCATACTAATTGGAATAACGGGCTCATGGATGGTATTACTTCCTACGCTCATACGCATAATCATTCACCGATCTCATCTCGTTTCAAGATGAGCGAATTTACTTAGTCTGTATGGACAGACTCTCTTGTTATACTCTACCACACATTTTAAAGCCTTGATCAGAGCCTAGGTATCTGGCTGTTTTTTTTTACACAACTGTTTGGCCATTTTCGCGAAATAATTCCTAGAAGTGCTCCGGTGAAAGAGTCTAAGTCTTCAGCGCACTATTATGTGCAAGCACGAACACCCAAGGAAGCTTAGGGAAGATGATAGAATAGGGAAAACAAGGATAGTGGAGAGGATATAGAGAAGGAAAAACAAGGAAATACATAAGAAAAAAGAAGAGGATAAGTCAAAGGAAAAACATAGAAATACATAACGGAAGAGCTAGGAGGATTATAGATTCGGGTATAGAAAAAAAAGAAATACCCCCCCCCCCCAAAAAAAAAAAGGAGAAAAAGATAAATTGAAGGAAAAACAAAGAAATAGATGACGAAGGAGAAAAGGATAGATTGAAGGAGAAACAAAGAAATACATAAAAAGTGAAAGAGAAGAGGATAGAATAAAGGAGAACAAAATTAAGAAATACATAACGAAGGAGAACTGATGGATAGATTGAAAGAAAAACAAAAATACATGACGAAAGAGAAGAGGATATTGAAGGAGAAACAAAGAAATACATAACGAAAGAGAAGAGGATATATTGAAGGAGAAACAAAGAAATACATAACGAAAGAGAAGAGGATAGATTGAAGGAGAAACAAGGAAATACATGCCGAAAGAGAAGAGGATAGATTGAAGGAGAAACAAAGAAATACATAACGAAAGAGAAGAGGATAGATAACGAGTATGTACCCAGTCATGTACAGCTCCAGCAATCCAAAAAATACTGCTAAGGGTAATGTGAGACTCTGTCTCTAGTCGTTTGCAGAGTATATTTGACTGAAGTGGCTAACCAATAATTTGTGTAAAAAAATATGCGCGTCCGGGAAAGCTGTAATACGTACAGTGACTGACAAAACGTTCTTGGCGCCTTTGTCCGTGCAGAATGTACACGACGTTAAAGTGTGCAATCAAGGACATATTAGGCTTAACACTATCCTCACCATCATAACCTTACTTAAACAAATTGCTAATTATACAAAACATTAAAAACAAAACCTCGGGAGCAATATTTGCAACAGAGCAAACTAATGTCTGATCACCACGTATTTAGAACACACACGAATCTATCCTGATTTGCACTTTAATAATTATTTCATTTTCCCCTTGTTTTGATGAGGCTTGCATGCAAATATATAGTAACATATATGAAGACCTTAATGTTGCTAAGTCAGTCAAGCCTATGTCAAGTATGCATCTACGTTGGAAAGAGGAAAAATAATATTAAACAAAAGCAAAATATATACAATTTTGAAGATGCATTCAAATTAACAGTGAAGAAAATTAATTTCTGTTGTCCTCATTGGACAATTATTGACTTGAAGATTTTTAGAAATCGACATTCTGGATGCTTTAGCCATTGCTAGGTCGGAGTAACCTCTAACACGTCCATTAATGATGTTGCCATAAGAACCCCACTTCCAGAATGCGTCCGTATATAATACAATACGAAAATAAACTATTCTGAAAGGGCATATTATGCATTAACATTTTATGCATGCTTATTCTTCAATAATTGTTACTAGACTTTATTTTCTCCAAATAATTGCCCGACATAGCGATAAATACTTATGCATTCTCTATGTTGACATTTCAAATACGAGCCATGTATCTTGTTCTATAGTATTTCAATAGTTAGAATATGAATTGCATATATTAATTTTGTTAGGTAGGACAAACCATAATGTTTGTTCATCCACGTACGACTATATACCCACACATGAACATCTTTAAACAGACAAATCTAGAATTTCTTCGACATATGAATTCCAATTTAGTTACTTAGTTAGTTCGATTGCTTGCTTTAAACATATTTTATTAAACATTGTATGGTGTGATTGTTTTTCTTCTCTCTACGCTACCACACTCTGAGATGTCCCCTACCTCACACGCTGTATCTTATCCCCCCTTCTCCCCTCTCTCTTTCCCTTTCCCCCTCTTTCTCATTTATCTCCTCTCTCTCTCCTTCAGAATACACCTCTCTCTCCTTTTCTATCTCTCTCTCTTCCTCTCTCTCTCTCTCTCTCTCTCTCTCTCTCTCTCTGTTCTGATCATCTTTCTCACATAGCACAGCTCAATAGCAACTTTTCAAGAGGCTCTGTAATATGGGAAATCATCGTCACGATTGTGAAGTGTTCAGAAAAAGGAGTGGAGATTTCTATTGGCAAGTTGGGAATGCTTTCTACTGGAACTACACTCAATCATTGAAATAAAGCAATCATCTCAATGTTTTCCCGCTCAAATGTCATATCGAAGCATTTGATAAATATGATTACTCTCTAAATATAATGTCTGTCGGTTTGCCTGAGAAAGGAATCTGACCAATTGCCGCTTCAGGCTAAAAGGAAATTCGACCCGACGGATTTGTCTCTGGCATATCAACCTTCTCTCAGCTTTCGATATAGATCTGCTCTCCGATGTGTATGTGTGTGCGCGCGCATGGTAGGATGTCACTTTGAATAAAACTTACTTCTCGAGATTTGTACATAACATCATGTGAATGAAGGTGATCTCACAAGAAATGAGTTCAACTGCCATACGGTCCTCCGCTGTGCGTAGCTATGCCCGTCCCACACGGTAAATATAGAGACAACCTAACCCCAACTCTAACCCTAAACCTAACTCAAACCTATACCCTAACTATAACCCTATACCTTAACCTATAACTCTAACCCTAAACCTAACCCTAACTCTAACACTATACCCTAACCCGATCCCGCGCGAAGCGCTGAAGCTTCGACGTTTCATTTTTTAGAGATGAAGACGATTCGTTGTACCGTTCTCGTCTCTTAACCCTTGTCTGAATTAAGTTTCCCCCTCCCGCGCGAAGCGCGGAAGCTTAGCTTTGATGTTTAATTTAATTATTAGAAAACGAAGACGATTTGTTGTACTCTGTTAATTTTTCTGAATTTTCAAAAATGTTTCTTTGTCCGATAAAAACAAACTTCTGCATTGATATAGTACACGAGGATTGAGCAAGAATACCGACACAGCGGACCCGACACAGCAACATAATTATCTATGCGTATCTTTCTTGCCCCCTCGACGTGGTGACTCCACCCAACATCTACCTCTCTCTCTTACTCCCACCCCTCTTCTCTCAGGCTCTTATACCCTCTCTCTCTCTCTCTCTCTCTCTCTCCTTTGTTTCATCCACCGTTTCTTTTGTTTCCCTTTTCTCTTCTTTTTTTCCTTTTCTCCTTTTTTTCTTTTCTTTTTTTTTCTTTCTTTCCTCTCTTTCCTTTTTTTCTTTTTTCTATTTCTTCTCTTCTCTTTCCTTTCTTTCCTTTCTTTTTTTTCTTTCCCTTTCCCTCTCTTTCCCCCTCCCCCTTTGCTCATTTTTCCCGACATAAGCGCAATTTTACCGACAATATCCTGACAGGTGTGTGTGTGGGGGGGGGGGGGGAGGGGGTGCCGCACCCCACGCCCCCTTTAGCGACGGCCTTGGTTGTTATTCCATTATTCTTGTAAAATAAATGCAATTCCTCATGCTTTCGCACCGCTCTTCTATCGTTGTTTAATTCTCTTTCATTTGTTTTCCTTTCTTCTTTAACTCACAAAAATTCTCTCTTTCTCCCCCTTTTTCCATCTCTTTTTGTTTTGTTCTTCTTGTGCTTTTTTTTTTTTTGGGGGGGGGGGGGGGGTACACGCCTGAAAAGAGGGACCCCATATTATGCACACTGCAAAATTGCGTGCCCCCCGCCCCTTTCACGGTAAAAAAAATATCTTCACCCTTTCCTCTCCTCCGTCTTTCCCCTTTCTTCCTTTACCGCCTTTTCTCTCCTCTCTCTCTTCCCCTTTCTTCCTTCCTCCCTCCTTTTTCTTCTCTCCCCTTTTCTCTTCTCCCTCTTTTCTTCATCTTTCTCTCTTCCCTTTTCTTCTTTTCCCCTCCTTTTTCTTTCCCCGTCCTTTTTCTCCTTTTCTCCCTTTTCTTTCCCCCCTTCCTTTTTTTTTTACCCTGGGGGGGGGGGGGGCGGAATCCGCCACTGTAATGAATTGCCTAGCTGTGCACACGAGGCAACATTATCAATTGCTGACACAAGACTGCGACTGGCGAAGTCTTTGAAGAGACTTGAGATAATGACATTGTACAAACGGTGAATGGCAAGCAAACAAGTGCATATTGTGTTCTATTACTGGCTATAGACTAGTTTAGGGTGTTGATTATAGCGCAGATGTAACATTGCGTGAAAATGTCATTTATTTTACCCGCTGAGGGGAAACTCAAAAAGAAACTAATTGTCACATATTACGGGTAACAATAAGTGGTGATGCTACGTGTTGTTGTCTAGAGATATAAGGGACTTTTAGATTTGCACGACTGCAACGTGGACTGCAACGTGTGACCTCCTTTAAAGGCACTGCCATGTACTTAAAAGGACGTCACATGTGACTGCCAGTGGCTTAAAAGGACGTTACACGTCCACGTCCACGCAAATCTAAAAGTCCCTATAGCCACCGGATTGCGAACCACATGGGCTTCAAATCCCTGCAACATCGATTACGTCATTTGTAAGACATTTATCTACATTTGCCACACTCGACCAAGGTGAAGTAAATAGGTACCTGTCAGAAATTAATTTCTTAAAATGCTCGAGCGCCTTTCGAGCAGCCGTGCTGAAGTGTCAAGTCAGACAGACATGAGCGCTGAAAAAGAACCTATACATACGCACTCCTATAAATATGAGAAAAACATCAATATAATAATAATAATAATAATATTGGATTCTTATATAGCGCACGTATCGACCTTGCAAGGTCCTCAAGGCGCTCCAACATATCCCGGCTATGCTAGGCTGCCGATTTTGACGCTCACAGCATTTTAAGGAATTCCTTCCTACCGGTACCCATTTAACACCTGGGTGGAGAGTGGCAAATGTAGATCAATGTCTTGCCAAAGGACATTAGTGCCGCGGCGGGACTCGAACCGCGGACCCTGTGACCGACAGTCCGGCGACGTATCCAGTCATCCACGACACCTCTAGATATATGTATATATGTATTTTCCTATTTTTACAGAGACCAAATCTATCGTTATTGTCATCAATGAATCTTATGAGGAACCTGTACATTCTACCAATTCAAAATGGCGCCCATACACGAGAGGGAGAGAGAGAGAGAGAGAGAGAGAGAGAGAGAGAGAGAGAGATGGTTAGAAACTAGGAGATGTGTTAGAACACGTCATAATGGCGGGACAACAACACGGGGGAAAACAGGGCGAATACGACCAGCAGACGGTGTTGGAGGGCAATGAGCCGAAAATACTATGAATATAGGAGAGGCCAAAAAGTGTTTTGCATGTGTCCTCAGTCAACCATGTATCGAAAGGTGAACAAAATGAGAGTAATTAAAGTACATGATAGAGGATGCAATGTGGTTCGCACTTTTCATATCTCTACCAATTTGAAATCTGATAGGAATTATTTTTGAAATAGATATTTGAAACGAACTGCCCCAACTTGAATGGGATAAAAAGGTAAACGATAAAAAAAAAAACACCCAAAAGACTATCAAACAGACAGACAAATAAAAATGAGCCCCCCCCCCCACCAAAACAAAACTAAACAAACAAATATGGTGAGAATAAATGAAGACAAAAAAGCGAAGGAGAAGACTTAATGAAAAGATGAGCAGAAAACGAAAAATAAACAAGAACAAATCAAAATGATGATTACACGAAATGTTGGATATGCGTGCCATGGAGTTTAATAAATATTATTTTATGGCTTATAGTGCAAAACAAACTTTACCAGTGTTAAACGGGTTTTCATGGAGCTAATCAAGACCGGAAATGGACAATTTTGCTAATTAAGCCAGTTTAGAAGCAATCCTTTCGTCAATTGGTGCCTTTTGTTTTCTGAATAGTTGCATGAGTGGCAAACGGGCGACCGCGGAGAGAGATGACAGAAGCAATCGAAGTGTTAAACCATCAACGAAGATACTAGATCCACATTGCAACTTGTAACCAAGTAATACAACAAACAGATAAGGAGGGCTGACCGGGAAAATTGGAGGGGGGGGGGGCAGTCATTTAGCCAAAACGTATGCTCTAAATAGTTTGTCTATTAAAAGGTCTTTCCCTTTAGTTAAATTTGTATGTATTTATTTAATCCTACATATTTTTTATTTTCTATCGATAACGTCTGTTATTTTTTATTATTTCGAATCTAACGCAGTCTCGTTTTGGTTGTTTCTGTGATGTCATTCCACAAATGTTGTGATTGTGATGTATAAAACTTACCTGCTTCAATGTTTCTCAATTTCTCCTAGGATGACCTCATCTGTTGTCAGAATCTGCCAAGATTTCCTTGATCGAGTATCTCCCGGATTATAAAGGTAGCACTAAAAATTAAATTTTTGAGTTTAGATGGCATGCCTATCTTGCATGTTGACAGAAAAAATATTACTTTGAATTGAATTGAAAAAATATATAAACGTAGAGATACGAATGGTACAATATCTACATCGTCTTATGTTATTATTGTCATTATTATTATTATTATTCTTATTATTATTATTATTATTATTATTATTATTATTATTATTATTATTATTATTATTATTATTATTATTTCACATCACTGGCACTATATAGTGCAATACATTATTATCATAACTATTTTCAAATGTTATCATTCCACCAGAACTTCAGAAGAGCCCTCGACGATGTTGACCTCATCAACATATTCCCATTGGACTCCTTTAATGTCATCCTCCGAGACGTCACCTCACTCGAATCCGAATCAATGACTAACAATCTTCGAAAACAAGTCTATGAGGACCTCTTCCATTCCCTCGACGATATCCATCCGTCATCACTGACCTCCGGTTGAGGGCTGTGGTTGCAATCAATTGAGAGAATGAAATGGGTTTGTAAAGAACTAAGTCACCAATTAAAAGGGCCGATCGAGGAGTCAAAATGTCAGTTTAACACTTTAAGCATGGTACATCTAACCTTTATATTGTTCGATTCAGCATGCTCAAAGAGTTACTCTACCAAGGTTGTCACTCGTCGACCCTTTTAAATAGTGATGTAACAGTTTAGTTTTTATCATTATCACCATAAACATTATTATTGTTCCGTATCACACTCTTCTTTCTATGATGTCTATTATGTTTTAGGTTGGTTTGTCGACCCTCTTCACCCGTCTCTGTAAGTGTTATAGGCCTACCCCATGCTCCTCTTCACCCGATGCTCCTCCTCACCCCCTGCTCCTCCTCACCCTTTGCTCCTCTTCACCCTCTGTCCCTCCTCACCCCCTGCTCCTCCTCACCCCCTGCTCCTCTTCACCCCCTGCTCCTCACCCGATGCTCCTCCTCACCCGATGCTCCACCTCACCCCCTGCTCCTCCTCACCCGATGCTCCTCTTCACCCGATGCTCCTCCTCACCCCTGCTCCTCTTCACCCCCTGCTCCTCCTCACCGATGCTCCTCTTCACCCCCTGCTCCTCCTCACCCGATGCTCCTCCTCACCCCCTGCTCCTCTTCACCCCCTGCTCCTCCTCACCCGATGCTCCTGTTCACCCCCTGCTCCTCCTCACCCTTTGCTCCTCTTCCCCCCCCTGCTCCTCCTCACCCGATGCTCCTCCTTACCCCCTGCTCCTCTTCACCCGATGCTCCTCCTCACCCGATGCTCCTGTTCACCCCTGCTCCTCCTCACCCTTTGCTCCTCTTCACCCCTTGCTCCTCCTCACCCCCTGCTCCTCTTCACCCGATGCTCCTCCTCACCCCCTGCTCCTCCTCACCCGATGCTCCTCCTCACCCCCTGCTCCTCCTCACCCTTTGCTCCTCCTCACCCCCTGCTCCTCTTCACCCGATGCTCCTCTTCACCCGATGCTCCTCCTCACCCGATGCTCCTCCTCACCCGATGCTCCTCTTCGCCCGATGTAACTCTTTCTTCACCTCCTCTACTCTCTCCTCCATACTTCCACATGCCATTGTTCCTTGTCACATTTCTATTTCCTGTTGTGTTCATTATGCTAGCACAAACAATTGTTTGTTTGCCCGACAGAAGGGCGTTATAACGGAAAACTTAATATCAACAACAACAACAACAATGAAAACAATAATAACAACAATAATAACAACAACAATAACAACAACAATATTAACAAACAACAACAACAGAACAAACATTAATAATGGTCCGTTTTCATCAATTTTTCAGATTATCTTTAACTGTACATTTAGCATTGAAGTGACTACCTTAGCACCACTATATCTCATCTGAACCATGTTACCAAGTCCCTGTAAGGAAAATGTCAATACCCCATCGTATATAAAATATAGATCATGTTTATATTGACGTAACGCGTCATTGTAACGTTCGCAAGCTTTCAAAAGGGTTGATGGAGCTAATGAATAAGGGAGTTTACGGATACAATCTGCGCATGGGCAGTTAATGGTCATTTGTACCAAAAAGGTAAAACCCACAGAGATGAATACTGGAATGTGCGCTCATGAAAGTTATGTAACATTATTCATTTATGCACCAATGGTACATTCTATGATACGCAGGTGGAATTTTTCTTTTCAAGAGGGCAAATAAAAGGTATTCATGAAGCACATCTAGGACTTTGGCAGTTATTATTTTAATATGCTCAAAGTGGAACTTCTCCATGTGTAAAAGATCTGTGGATATTTGGGGTCATTTGTACCATGTGCTATCTGTAAACTCCCTTATTGCCTTAGGTCGATCTTTCGAAAGTAGTTCCGATCGTGTTATAGGTCTTCCTCATCTCAAATATATGATTGTTATTTCTTACATTCAACAGCAGAGCATCTTTCTTCTGATGTGCGTGGTGAGTACAGCCATTCTGATGACGTACATGACAAAGCTCTATGATCCACCTCAGGCCCACTTCACTAACATTGCTGCACCTACTCACGGAGCTCCCATCCGCAGATCCTGGCCTCCTGCCGTTTGGTGGCGCTCTAGGTCGTCCAACTCCAAGGGTTCGGTTTCCAAGGGGTGAGTTAGTACTTCTATCCTCGGTTTCTAACTAGCATATTGGAGAATTTGAAAAATATATAGATTGCAGATTGAAGGATGCATTCAAGTCTGATTTTTCTTTTGAAAATGTTGAATTAACAACATCTATAGTGATTCATTCACTTCAATCTCTATCCAAGGGTTTAGAATTCAAATCCCAATCCGGAGCTAAGCCTTTTTTTGGGAAGACATTAATCCATATTTGCCATTCTCTATCCAGACGTAATAGGGTCCCTGGCCATTGCTTGGGTAGGCCCTAATAATAATCGCAGTGCCCGCAGGAAGAGCAGCATTAATATTGACAGGGCGACCATGAGTAAACAAGACCCAATAATCATTATTATTATTATTGTTATTATTATTATTATTATCATCATCATCATCATCATCATCATTATTATTATTATTATTATTATTTTTATTATTATTATTTTTATATTATTATTATTATTATTATTATTATTATTATTATTATTATTATTATTATTATCATTAATATTATTTTTTATCATTATTAGCAGTAGAAGCAGTAGTATTATTATTTATATTATTATTATTATTATTATTATGACATGTATACAAGTTGTTGACGTCCATTAAATACGCCTATTTGTGATCATTCGATTCTTCAAATATATATTATAATTATATTGTTTTTGGTGTATTTAAATTGTAGTTATTGAACATAATAAGGAGACGGATTCTCTTTTCTTGTCTTCAGAGAGACCAATGGGTGCATTCAGAAATCCATAAGTTATATTTCATTACACTTTTTGCGAGACGATTTCGTCATTCTATAGAAATTGCTCGAATGTATCAATGAAACGTTTGCTTGCTTTTTCCATTAATGTGACTATGCAGAAAGAACACTGCGAACGAGCTGATCCTTTCTGCTACACCTTCATCTCTGCCGGAAAACGTCACTGGTGACGTCATTCCACCTATTGCCTTCGATGCCAACACCACCTATACGATAAAACAGGATGATCAAGAGAAGACAGGAGACCCAACGTCCTGTACTCACCAGGACAATGTAGTTTTCATCAAGACACACAAAACAGGGAGTACAAGTCTTAGTCACATTGTCAACCGCTACGGGTTCTCCCACAACTTGTCTTTTGTCTTCAACCGTCTTAGCCCTGGGAATGGACACCTGGTTTACCTCCCCCTCAATGTCAACTCACCCCGGACGCACTTTCTCCCTCCCATAGGGGTTAAACCGGGGGACTTCTCCAAGTACAAGTACAACATGCTTGCGGTACATGTGCGCTACGACCGCAAGGCAATGAATACCTTTATGAAACCAAACACTCATTACATAACCATCATCCGGGACCCTGGGACGCAGTTCGAGTCAGCTTTCACGCATTTCCAGTTGGACGATTCTTTCCTCGTGCATGAGAAGGTTCATACCACAATGCAGGCGCGATTGACGCAGTTTTTTGCGAAGCCAGACTTTTACCGGAAGCGTCTGAAGTCTATGACCTGGGAAGGGAAAATGGGACTGAGGTGGTATTATGCGAAGAACAACCAAGTATTTGACCTTGGTTTGGATCACGTGTATCATAGTGATAAAAACAAAGTGCAAGAGTATATCAATAAATTGGATCGCGAGTTCAGTTTAGTCTTGATTACTGAGTACTTTGAGGAATCTCTGGTGGTTATGAGGAGATTTTTCTGTTGGAGTCTACAGGACACCCTCTACGTCGCAAAGAACGTTCGACCAAATCCAGCAAATGTACCAGAGTCTTTACGAAATAAGATGAGGCAATGGAACAGTGTCGATACTCGGCTGTATGAACACTTCAACCGTACACTGTGGGAAAAGATCAAGAAATATGGTCCTGATTTCCAGACTGACCTTTCAGAATTTCGCAGACGTTTGAAGGAGACCTTCGAGTCGTGTGTGGGTGAGACTGAAGTCAAGGCGCAGGGACATTACTTCCACTGGATAGAGTACAAACCACGCAGTGATTCAAATAAGCTCTGTGCGCAGATCGCAGAATCAAAGCGTACCCTCTTCTCTGCCATATGGCGAAGGCAACAGTTACCGAAAGCTCGGTCAGCTCCTAGACCTCGACCACACGTTGGGCAGCCATTCGATATGCAGCAGTTTCGGCGTTATCCGTCTGCGAAGTACATGCTCAATCGCCCAAAGCCACCGAAACCGATTAAGTCTGCTCCTAAAGCGGTGCCTAAAGCAAAACCTGTAAGCAAAGCAGAAGGATCGCTACCGAAGGCCAAACCTTTACCTCCGCAACCCGCACCAAAAATTATCAGGCATGTTGTCGTTGACAACAAAACATCGAATTCACATCCCGGAACTGACGATTTCAATGATGATGATTCCAGTAGTGTCCTAGTTGTGCACGAAACCGCCCAGAAGTTAAGCGAAAAGTTGAAGTCTAAGAGACTGCCAAATGTGACAGCTGAAGGCACAAGAGTAAAACCAGTACTCACGTATAAGAAAAATACATGAAGCTCAAGAAAGTGAGACTTTAGCTTAAACCTCGACGTCCTCATGATGGGGTAAAAAATGAACATTTTACTTGTTACGTACCGACAACGTCTCATGTCCCCTGATATATTCGATTAGCCTACCGAGTGATGTCACTTTTAAGTGAATTTTTTGTTTTAGTGAATGTTTTTTGTTTGAGTGAATGTTTCACATGAATAGGTCGTCTGCATACAATGCGGTGCTATTAAGATGCAAATCTTTCAGTATTTTGCTTCCTGTTGGAAAATGGTTGTTGTAGATTATTTACAGAGATATGTATAGTTTTACCAAGAAAAAAACTGCTGAATTAAGAAAATGCATATAAAATAGTTCAAATAGTGTATAAGACAATTTATCAACGAATTTGATAAAATCATTTACATATCTTGCCTATACTACAGTTATATATATTTCTTTAGAAAGCCGTGAAGCAAGCTGTAACTTTGACCTTCTGACTCAGTATTACTTTGGATGTTTGAGGCTATATCATCAGTCAGCCTACATAGCAACTAAAATAAAGAAAACAAAGACAGGGTGAAATATTTTGTTATTATTATTTCATGGAAAATACAGGGTTGTGACATTATCGTTTTAATACACTTTATCCACGCTGTGATGCAGAATCTCAAAACTTTGTTTCCATCTGTTTAGTGAAGTATCATAAAGGCACCAAGTCGTGCGATGGTTCCATGTGTAAAATAACTGACATTTATATCATAAGAAGGGCCACAGCCATGTTTTTGTATGTGATAGAACGACAGTAGTGAAAATGCCCGATAACTACCTTTTTTTCCCTTTTTTTTAATTTTTTTTTTTACAGATATTGGGAAATAGACACAAAATTGGGCAAACTAATATCGGGCAAAATTTAGGAGCCCAATTAATATTTCAGTTTTTTAGGTACCATCCATCTCAGCCACTTTTACGATCATACCATGGCTTCCTTCGAAACAAAGAATAAATTTTATATTACCCTTGTTTGTCTACACAATACTCAATAATCAAGCTCCACAATATTTTTATACCCGTTTGGATTTAATATATACACCAACCATGGCTTTGAGGTCAGCCAGTGATCCTTTCCGTCTCACATACTCAGTTATTCAATCATTAGACTGTGATGGGACATTTACTGTATCTGAATAATGATCTACCACTTAGAATTAGACTGGTTTCATTAGTTATTACCTGTAGAAAAGCCTTGGAAGAAAAAAAATCCCCCTTTTCAGTATGTAATTGTAAGATTGTTTTTCTAATTACATGTATTTGTGTAATTGTAATTTACTGTAAGCGCTTTGGGCCTTATGGAAAAAGCGCGGTATAAGTAAATATCATAATAATTATAATAATAATAATAATATGGGGTAACTCAAAAATGCAACGAAATTGAAATTGGTAACATCTGTAAAGTGCTTCATATCTCTCTGAATGATTTCATAGATCAGTAGGTGATATGACAGTGGTATCCCCAAACGTTTGATAAGGGGGCGACGGTCGAGCTTTCCCTTTGTGATGGGCCTCTAATAATATGTTGATCGTGTATATATGTGTGGTAGAGTGAGAGAAGGGTGGAGAAAATGCCAGGTTGTTTTATGTGAGATGTCGGGAAACAGTCTCAATTTACCTGTACGTTTATGAAAATTATCTAACTAAACATCATTGCAAATGTTACGTAATGGATGTTAGATTTTTTTATATTGCAGTATATATTTTCATTTTATGGTGCTTTTATTTGTATGAAATGAGATCAGCTTTAATATTTTTACGTTAAGTGCTAGTCCTGTTAAGTGAGTGCCCAGCATATTGTTAAATTTCGTAACTGTGTTATTCCTTTTTTTGTTGCATTCGTACAAATGAAATGATAGTAAGTCTTCATGTTAGCCTGAAAAGTAAGATAAATTATTCAAGGGGGGGGGGGGAGGGAGGGTAATTCAAACATTAAATGTATGTCTGTCTGTAGCTTAAAAGCTGAATATTGGCAAATTAGTCTTTACAGCATATGTTTTTTTGCAATCAGAATTTGTATATATATTTGCTGTTTTAACAGGACATCTATATAACCCTAAATGATACACTAATAGGATATCATGAAAACCGGTATGATACCCTAACCCTCAAACTAACCCTTACCTTAAATTCCAACTTTTTTTAGCTAATTAAACTAATGAGTAATGATTAAACCTATTCTTTCTTGGGAGGCCTTTAGGTTTCCTCTGCCTACAAACGTACGTAGAGGGCAGTAATTCTATTGTTTAATCGTTAACAGGACACGAAAATGTCCTGCTAATGACCATGTCTACTTGATAGACATGTCAAATTATAAATAATGCTTTTTCGATCAACATTTTTTTTCCTATAGTGCTGTGAGTTGGTAAAACTCGTCCTGCACGGCCAAAGTTTGTACATGGATGAGCGAAGACTCTTTTTAATTTGGTGATTACGTGTACGTGTATGGAGAGTAACATACCTCTGTACCTCTAAGTAATCAATGTTACTGTGTACAGTCGTAATTTTTTCTTCTTCTTTCCACTTAAATTCTCTCTCCAATGTATAGAGTTTAAAAATTGTTTACACCAGAATGGGCGGATTGCCTGATTCTTCAATTATAGTTAAGTGCATGTGATTGACAGTACGAATCAGAAATTGACTTTTTGTTGAAACAGTCAGGCAAGCACTTTATGTATTCACTTGTTGCGTTCGACGGCTTTTATTTTGCCCATTTCATTTTAGACATGTATAATTATTGGGCTATTGCTTCTCATCACACATTCATACACAATTGTCTTACACCAAACATTTAATTTTAAGATGTTACAGTTTTGAAAGAGCAACAAGGTGGATTTTGTATCAATTTGATATAGGTTTTATGAGTCGACCCGTGCTATTTGAAATTAGCAGTCTCTGCAATCACGTAAACGTTTAACTAAACAATTTGATGAATTCAAATTAAAGGGGGTCTAAACGACCTCCCCAATGTTCGGTAGGAGCATAGCTTCGTTTTTATACATGTACTTCCAATAATTAATAACAACCCTGTGTACAGGGGCGTACGCAGGGGGGGGGGTTTTGGGGGGTTCAAACCCCCCCTTTTGTATTTTATGTGTGTAAACCCCCCTAAAAAACCTAAAACCCCCCCCCCCCTTTGGAAAAAAAAAAATATGCCCACGGCTAACATAAAAAGGTGACCTTCCCCCCCCCCCCCCCAACGAAGAAAAATGTCAAATTTTCAAATTTCGAGACCAAAAAAATAAAAAAAAAGTGTCCGCTTACCCCCCCCCCCCCCCCCCCCCCCCCCCCCCTGAGCGACTTTTCGGCTGGCTGAGTCGTTGCGATTTTTTTTTGGACTCCAAAAAAAAAAAAAAAAGTGTCCGCTTACCCCCCCCCCCCCCCCCCCCCCCCCCCCCCCCCCCCCCCCCACTGAGCGACTTTTCGGCTGGCTGAGTGGTTGCGATTTTTTTTTGGACTCCTTAAAAAAAAAAAAGTGTCCGCTTACCCCCCCCCCCCCCCCCCCCCCCCCCCCCCCCCCCCCCCCCCCCCACTGAGCGACTTTTCGGCCGGCGCGATTTTAAATTTTTCGGGATCAAAATATTTTGGGCCCGATTTTAAAACCCCCCCCCCCTTGAAAAAATCCTGCGTACGCCCCTGCCTGTGTATATGCCCTGAGACATGCATTTCATCTACAGTTGGCATTCTTTATCTGATACATGACGTGACAAATGTTATGATGATTATTACGGCAATCTTAACAGCTAGCTTTTCTATTTCTCATGTTCGTTGTGCCTCGTAATATAATGTTTAGTTTGCCTTGACGGCGATATAGGGTGCTTCTCATTTTTATGTAGCAAATTAATATCCTATTTTGAACATTGTTGATGTATAATTATTGTGAAAAATATATATAACGAAATACAATTGGTATTGATTATTGAAATGTGAGAGAAACTTTGAATTCGCACCTTACAAGTTTTTGTCTAAGTTACCAAACAAACTCCTGTAATTCATCACATTCTTATTGATCATTAGTAAATATGTAGTTTCATTATTTTGATGTAGCCTGAGTGATAGGGGAAGAGACATGGTGAAGACAGGAGACAAGAGATTTGATAAGCAGGAAGAAAGAGGGGCAGAGAGAGAGTGGGACAGCAAGAATAGAGAGAGAGAGAGAGAGCGAAAAAAAAAGACATACAGAGAAAAAGTAGAGACAGAAAGATGAAGAAAGAGTCATTTTTTTTTTTGAAAGTCATGTTACTACTCGTATCAATCAGCTGACGATTCTGACAGTAAGCTCCTAATCCTGACTAACAGAGAAACTTCTCACATCATAGTGTACCAGTGTACAATGCATGTAAGATCCTTTAGTGGCTCAAGGAAAAAATTTAAGGACACGTACCCTGCAGGCATCCTGAAAAGGCTTTGGGATTAAACCCACATCATTTGGTAAATGTGCTAAGAAGGCGCTTCAACTTTAGAAAAGCACAGCATTAAAGCAGTAGAGACCAAGTAGACAACACGCCAAGTTGGGCAAGCAACATGCTCCCAACCCAAGACCGTTTGGTACTGTGGACTTGTCCTCACTGCTAAAGCCCCCATCACACCGAACTAGTTCTTAATACGTTCTGGAAAATGTTGCCAAACATGCTCAAACTCTGTGCGAACGGAGTTGAACGTAGTATTTTAAGAACTTCATGGACGGGTTTGGACTGGCTATACGGGAGAGTTCCCTAGAACTTTGAGCCTGTTCAAAATTGTCCCCGTCCTGCGATTAGATGGAGTGACAACATGCTTAAAACGGGGAGAACGTACTACAAACGGACTGATTGCCGTACTATGAACGGAATCGCCGTACTACGATCCTACTAAGAATGTATTACAACGTGCTGTGATCAAGCATCAATTAGCAGCAGCTAGGCCCCCATCACACCAAACTAGTTATCACTACGTTCCGGAACTGTCCTAGAAAATCTTAAAAAACGGGTAATGGTCGAATGTAGAAGGTGTAAATAATGTCTATGATACGGTCCTAGACCGTTCATAAACAGTCTTCAATACGTCCATCTCGTCTGTACCCCGTCACAGTCAGTTTATATCAAGTTCAGATTGGGTAAATTTGCCGTTTCCAAGCAGTCCAGGCCCGTCCGTAATCAGTTTAAACAAGTTCATAACTAGTTCTACCTCGTTTCCAATACGTCCAGCTAGTATGTAACACGTTGCTAGTAGGACCGAAGTACGGCAATTCCGTTCGTAGTACGTCCATCTCGTTTTAAGTACGTTGTCAGTCAGTCTAATTGCTGGACGGGGACAATTTTGAACAAGCTCAAAGTTTTAGAGCACCCTCCCCGTCCATAAAGTTCTTAAACAGATCGTTAACAGTTGCTTCTACGTTTACTCCGTTCGCACATAATTTGAGCACGTTTGGCAACATTTTACAGAACGTAGAACTAGTTTAGTGTGATGCGGGCTTCACTTGAATGTCTTGATTTGCACAGCTTGAATCGTTCAAGTTAAACGGGAATAAGGAATGGCAAGAACGCGCTGGGGTATTATAACCCTTGAGCAAGGACGTGATTTCACACGCTCTAGTAAGGCGTTCGAACGCACTAAGAACGAGATAACGACAAGCTGAACTGTCTCTGAACTTGTTTGAATCGGTTTAGTTGTATTGGGAATGAGGTAGAACTAGTTAATAACGGGTATAAACTATGGACTGGCTTGACATGCCTGGAAATGGCAAATATACTTGATATGAACTGACTGTGGACGGGGTACAGACGAGATGGACGTATTGGGGACTGTTTATGAACAAACTGGGGTCGAATTATAGACATTATTCACAAATTCTACTCCGACCACAACCCGTTTTATGATTTTCTAGGACGGTTCCAAAACGTAGTGAGAACTAGTTTGATGTGATGGGGGCTTTAAAGAAGAATTCGTGGCTTGCATTGGCCTCCCTAGCGACCTCTGAACCCACAAACCTGGTTGACCACATGTTGATTCTCTCTTGAGAGAACGACAAACAACACAATGATATGATCATACGTCATAATCTCAATTCTAACATATAAGCTCTGACTGAATTCCAGCTTACATACCTACACAGACTTGACTGTACTCTCCAGCCATCTGTTGTAGAGTGCTGCGCTCAGGATGAGTAGTCATTCTCCGTGATTTCACTGCCATCGAATCTTTTACAAATTTACAAATTGCATAAAGAAGTTGGTTTTTATAGAAATACTAGGCACTAAGAGGTTAAGAAGACACATTATAGGATATGCATTTTGTTAAAGTCATCTCACTATCTTTATATTTATATAATATATTCACATTGCACATAATTTTGACTTGTGTAATATACCATTTCTTGCATCATTTTGAATTTCAAAGAAACCAACAAGAGACCAAAATACTGCTGCATCTTTGCAACACCGTTTGCATGGCATTAGGATGCGTCTGTCACACGAGCGGCAAATTTAAGGTGTGGATGCATAAACAGCCTGTGCCCCCATAGGGTCAGGTTTTAAACCTAATGAGCACACCTATGAGCCAGAAGCTGTCAACCTTATTTCAATCACGGCACCCTTTTTCAGAAATAAAAGGTTCCGCGTCACCCCAATCCCAAATTCATCACAGAATATTACTTGTACATGACCCTGAAACTTATCAAGTGCAATGTACATTACTACGGGCATATTTGTTTCTATTTATTGGGAGCGTCGAAGCGAGCAAGCCCCCAAATTTATATCTTTAATATATAAAAAAAACTAGTTTGTAATCTTCAAACTAAATATGATACATATTAAAGTATGAAGACATCGATCCAGCCGCCAAATATACATAAATATGAGGATATTCGGGCAACGTAAAGCCCGGAATTATCCCATTTATACTAAATGTTGCGAGCGAGTGAAGCAAACTAGCAGTAAAATGTAATTTTTATGTAAAAGATAAAATATATCAGAGCACTTCGCTCTCAAATAGAAGGTTATCCGAACACATTGTTAGCAAATATGGAGCTATTCAGGCACTTCGCTGCTTGAAATCATCGTGTTTCTAAATAATGCGAGCGAGTAAAGCGAGCTAGGAAGAAATACCCTTTTCTATCTTTAAAATGCTTTTTCCTCAAAAAAATGACCTAAACTAGTAGTATGGTGTTTCACGAAATCGACGTAACTCCCAAATAATTTTGTGATGTAAATACATTTTTCTCGCGGCACCCCAGCTGAAAAACGCTAGTATATACACATGGTCAATAAGAGAGGACGTTGTTTTAGGATTGAAGGACACCACCTTTTAACCTCAAGCAGATGTGCGGGGATAAGACAAAAGAACTGAAACGAGGTGATCAAAATAGGGAGGAGATATTGATTCATATCGGTGGCCGGGAAAAAACAATTTCCTAGACTATGTGATCAGACCAATTTTGAGGAGATGAAATAAACAAGTTCCGAGCATTTCAAGTGCGCCCCTAAATGTACAAGCGGGTTCTAAATAAAACTACGATCCCCAGGAAAATTTCCCCTGGGAGAAGAAAGCACTAGAGTAAAATATTAACCTAATGCCTTTCACGGCGAATGTGACATGGGGACCCTTAAAACAAGGGAGGAAGGTCTAGCCTATGAAGCACCCCCACTTTGAGTCTTCAATTCAATTTCAATTTCAATTTCAATTTCAAATTTATTCATGTTTCCAACAAAACATTACAAATCAATTATAAGCATTTAAAACAAATTTAAGAAATACATGTTGGAAACAGAGGGGTCCACTAAAAAGCAATGCTTGTACAAGTTTGAACACCTCAAATGAAACTTAGGAATAATGAGTAATTAAATTAACTAATCTGTAACTACAAAAGGAACTACAAAATAGGGGAAAGAAAAAGGGGGATGCCAACAGAGACGAGAAAGGGACAAGACAATACTTTACACGACAAAGATAGAAGAAGACGGTCATAATACAAAGAGTAGGGCTGCCATAGGAACGTGTCCCTCTTTATCTGGATATTCACTACTGCTTAGTCCCATTAGTATGGGCATTCGTGGGACTTGTGTATTTAGGAAAAAAATAACTTTTAGCAGGGACGTTTTCCCAAAGGATCATGATTCCCAATGTCCGTAATTCTGAAATAGAAACTGCCCATGCGAGGGGGTTTGGATTACCGAAACTTAAAAAGGGTTCATTATTCAGAATCAATGTTCGTTTTTTCCAAAGGTTCATAATTTTGTATTTAAAACAGTGTACATAATCCCGAAAATGAAAAATGTTTCTGTATTCCAAAGGTTCGTAATTTAGAAATCGGTGAACGGGAAAAAATAATTTTCTAAACTAATAGGGGGTTCATATTTCCGAAAATAAAATAAGGTTTATTATTCAAGCTCAAGTTCAAGTTCAGTTTATTCAATTCCAATAAAATATACAAAACAGAATACAATCATGACAGAATAAGAGTATAAGTCGATCAAAAATACAAAATAAGGTAAAATTATAAAACTATAAAGTGATACATCAGATAACAACATAAGATAGAGCATTCAGAAACAAGGTTCGTTTTTCAGAAGGTTCATAATTCTGAATTTGAAACAAACTACATAATTCTGAAAATGAAAAAGTTTTCGGTATCCCAAAGGTTCGTAGTTCAGAAAAAAGAGGCCTCCATCTAGGTTATATGTCACCTTTGAAGTTACGAACCTTTGGGATTGTAAATCATATTTGATTTCGAAGTTAGGAACCATTGAATTACAGATGTCTCATTTTGATTGACTTAGATATTAAGGGCTTTTTATCATTCATCATATTATCAAACATTTCTATTAAAGAGATTTTAAAATCTTCATATTTGATGTCATTAAGCCCAACATCAAACGATTCATTAGATGTTTGAATGGCTATTGTTTCGCTGACGAAACTGATTTTCATTATGTTTTTTGATTCGCAGATACCGTTACGTAATTCAGTGGTCAACGTGTACGTACGTATGTGCTAATTAATGTAAAAACCGGCAGAGCACTATTGGGGTTTCATAGAGGTGACATCTTGCGATGTTCGCCTACTAATTTTTCGTGCAGAATGCCTCATTTCACAATGAGATAATTCGTATTTCAACAGTATATCCTGCCAAGAAGTGAGTACAGCTTGGTGTGAATGTGTTTTTAGAATGTTTTATGCAGACATGAAATTATGGATGTTTTCTTATTTGTTTGAAACGAAATGGAATTTCGCTCAGTGAAAGTGTACACGTGTAAAGTTGATAGTCTTGTGTGCAGAGCATTTGATATAAAGTAGATATTTGACATGTATTTGATACATTGCTAAGAATAAGCTGTATATAAATATTAAAGGGCATTATTTTCAGGGTTTATTGTAGCACTCTTGTATTTACAATTTACAGGGAAAAGGCTGATTTGGTGGTTTATTTATGGTCGTTTTGATAGACTTTCAATTAATCATTGGTCTGAATTAAGACTAGCTTTTGGTATTGCACACGGAGCTTGTTGTTGGCTTTTCAACTACACTAGACCCTAAGTCTTACAAAAGGGAATTTTAGGATATCTGTTATATTCTGGTGAAGCTATTTTATGACATTCGATGAAGTCATTTAAAGGAATTTCTGTATGGGTTTTAGTATGAATATCAGTGACTTGAAAGTTATGTCACATTTGTTATGAAAGTCAATAGAAATCATTTGACCTTGTGTTGTCATTCATAAAACCTGAATGTTGAATAGGGGTATTTGTAGGAATATTATGAAACATATATAAGATGCCATTTTGGTCATATCTATATTTAAATTAGTGCCTAATTATTCACGAGAAAAGGGATATTCAGGCAGAATTGCATTTTCTGTTATAGAAGTTACATTTATACTTCAAACTGATATGAATGAGTCCAGTTGACTTATGTATTTATGAATTCTTCAATTTGTTCTTTCAGATTGAATAAAATCAGACTACGGTCTTATACGATTCCAAGCGGGATATTCTGTGTGGCTGAGTCATCTTTCTTACGAGCAATCCAACAATTCAATTTCCTACTGCTAACCTGGGATACGATAGGAAAGATGACGTCGACTGATGAAAGTAACCTGAAGTTCAAGCGAAGGGGTGCCAAGTCCAGATTCACGAGATTCGGCAAGGCTACAGAGCAACTGATAGATGGCGGCCGAAGTAGGGCGGAGGCACAGAAATCCTTCGAGAAGTATGAGCAGGCATACCATGAAGTGGAAGATGCTCATGACAAGTTTACTATGACCATCAAAGACGAAGCAGAGTATGATAGAGAGGACGTCTGGGTGGAAGATGTTCAGAATGATTTCTCGAAGTTACAGTGCAAGTTCATTGACTACGTCAAGGTTGATGAAAGTGCTTCGTAAAGTCCTACAGGGGAAGACACCACGGTCAGTGTTCTTCCTGGTCATCAAGGATTTGCTCAGGAAAGCATGAGCCACTTCAAGATCGAAAGACCAAGGCTCCCAAAGTTCAGTGGAGACATCCGTGAGTACTGCATCTTTAAGTCAGATTTTGAACATGTCATAGGTAGCAGATGTAGCTCCAGAGATGCTATGATGATTCTTCGTTCATGCCTTCAGGGCAAACCACTGCAACTTATCCAAGGTATTGGACAGGACTACGCGGCTGCCTGGGAGCAACTAGATACCATTCATGGGGATTCTAGATATGTGGCGGACACCATCATCAGCGACATATCTAAGTTTAGGCCACTGAAAGAGGGTGAAGATGCCAGGTTCTGCGACCTGGTCCATCTGGTAAGGAGAAGCTTCAACACCCTGAACGAGATCGGGAAGCAGAACGACATGAACAACAGTCACATGCTGGCCATAATAGAGAGAAAGATGTGTCCAGATGATCGGAGGTTATGGTTCCGAGACCAAGATGGCAGTTCGGAGACGACTCTGCATTCTCTAATGAACTGGATGGCGAAGGAGATGCGAGCTCGCATGAGGTCATCAGCTCCTCTTCGTAGTGAAGCCAAGTCCAGCATAGTGAACATGGTCTCCACGGCAGAGGAGAAACCATCCATGAACCAGTCCACAAAGGAGTTTAAGTGCTGGGTCTGCAAAAGTTATACTGGACATTGGACAGATCAGTGTAGGGATTTCATCTCCAAATCGGCACCTGAACGATGGGAGATGGTAAAGAGCAGTCGTGCCTGCTACAGCTGTTTGAAGAAAGCTGGACGAGACCACGTGATGAGTAACTGCAACAGGCGACGCCGTTGTAGTGAATCCAGGAACGGAGTGCAGTGCACATGGTATCATCATCCGTTACTTCATACTGAAAGGAGCATAGTTGAGGAAGGAGGATTGGTGAAACAAGTGGGAGTAGCTACGGTCATTGCAAATGAATGTCTCCTTCCCGTGACGATAGTGGATGTGATATCTAAACGAACTATGCAGCAAGGAAATCTGCTATTGGATTCTGGTGCTGAGATAAGCCTTATTCGTAAAGGTTTTGCAGAGAGGCTCAAGCTTAAGGGAACGCCAATAACCATAACAATGGTCAAGATTGGACGAGATGAGGAGGTTCTCCAAACTCTCAAGTATCGGATACCCATCAGAGAAGCAGGGAAAAGCACCATGCCTATTATGATTGACGCTATAGGCATACACTGCATAAGTGGGGACATTACAGCAGTAGACTTGGGCCTTCTATCGAAGAAGTTTGGACTGAAGGAGCAAGAGTTGAAGCGAGGTACTGGAGCAGTCGACCTCCTAGTGGGCATAGATCATGCCAGACTCCATGGCGGAGAAGTTAGAGAGGTTGGACATTTAGCAGCTCGCAGATCTCCAGTAGGATGGGTGGTGTTTGGGAAAGGACCCACTGACCGTGTCAGCTCCAGTTCAGTACTTCACATAAAGATCTCAAGTCAGGTGGATCTTTTACCAGATAACAAGATCTTGGTGACTACAGAAAAGAGACCGGAAAGAAATGAGAAGTATGCATCTGCATACAAAGAGCAGATGAGAGAAATGGAAGACCTGAAATTCTCCAGAAAGCTGTCGGAGGATGAGAAGGATGAGAAGGATGAGAAGGATTTGCAAGAGTATTCTGAGGTTAAACCAGAATGGAGCCTCAGCAAGAGAAAGATCTTGAAGCAGATAGCACAAGTATTAGACTCACTCAGCTTTGCAGCAGCCTTCCTGATCCGTGCCAAGATTGGGATACAGAGCCTTTTGGGAAAGGGCTATGACTGGGATGAGATGCTGCCAGAAGCAGACCAGAAGTGGTGGATAGCCTTTTTCAAGGAGATGAAGGAGTTAGATGAGGTTAAGTTTGAAAGAAGCCTCACACCATCAACAATGATTATCAATCATCCAATGCTGTGTAGATTTGCAGATGCATCCCAGAATGCTTTCGGAGCATGCGTCTATCTGAGGTGGCAGCTTGAGAACGGTGATTATGATGTCAGATTTGCAGATGTATCCCAGAATGCTTTCGGAGCATGCATCTATCTGAGGTGGCCGCTTGATAACGGTAATGATGTAATGGCCAAGTCCAGAGTGGCCCCATTAAAGAAGATGACCATACCCAGATTGGAACTACAAGCAGCAGTTATGGCTACACGACTCTTCACTACTGTCATGAAGGAGCTGAGACTGCAAGTTGAACAGGTGATGTTCATGACAGATAGCAGGATTGTTCTACCGTGGGTACGGAGGAAGAGAAAATGCTTTAAGACGTTTGTAGCAGTAAGGATAGCAGAGGTTCAAAGTCAGTCTGATCCTGCCCAGTGGAGATATGTTCCAGGTAATCAGTACCCTGCCGATGATGTGTCAAGAGGTCTTCCAGCAGCAAAGTTAGGACACAGATGGCAGCAAGGCTCAGAGTTCCTGTACTCTACAGAAAGTGAGTGGCCTCAGGATAGACACGGCAGAGTTGCAGCCACAACTGGGAAAGTGAGAAAGCAGTGTTGTATCTTGCAGGGACACAGACTTTTTAGAAGTAGCCAACCTGGTTAATCAACGTCCTATTGGTAGGATTCCTAACGACACTGATGAAGGAAGCTACTTGTGTCCAAACGACATGCTACTAGGGAGAGCTTCGCGCCAAGTACCACAGGGTCCATTCAAAAGTTCAGGAAATTCAAGACATCGAGTTGAATATGTTCAACAAATCGTCGACTCCTTTTGGCAACGTTGGACGAGAGATGTTCTACCTCTACTGGTGCCAAGGAGAAGGTGGAATGCAGACCGTCGAAATGTTCGCGTCGATGACGTCGTAATGTTAGCAGATGCTAATGCAGTCCGCGGAAAGTGGCTTCTGGGTCGGGTAATACAAGTGTACCCTGGTCCAGATGGGAGAGTTCGAAATGTTAAAAGTGAAAACCGCTTCGGGAGAATACCGTCGCCCGATCGGCAGAATCGCTATTATATACCCTGCTGAAGGATATGAAGACGAGTGAATGGTTTTTTTTTCTTCGCATTAATACAGAGGATAGCGGAAATTGATAGAAATGCATTTTGCATTCCAGTGAAGAGTTTAATTTGTGCAACACAGTTAAAAGCATAATTGATGGAAATTTCTTTTGAAATGAAGGTTATTTTTGATATGATAAGAAGCATATAGCAATTTTACACAGTTTCAGCAGCTTTACTCGCGACCTACTCTACTCGCGACCAGCTATATTCGCGACCAGCTATATTCGTGACCAGCTCAACTCGCGTTCAGATGTATTCGTGACCAGTTCTACTCACGATCGGTTCTACTCGTCTCGTGATCAAATTTATTCGCGACCATTTTAGCCGCGACAGGTTTTTCTTCTTGCGATCGGTTTTTTATCAACCAGTGTTGTTGTTTGTAAAGAATTACAAGATGTTTTTTTCTTGTAAATCGCTAGCATCATATGACTGAAGTTGACTTTAAAACAGTTTACCAGTGAATTTTTGCAACAATGACATTTATTGTAAACGTTTTTTCAGATAGTTGATTCAAAAGTTTATACATGTAATTGATATTACATTCTGGCATTTTGATACAGATATTGATATATTGATTTATGTATTGAGGCAAGGCCTCATAGGCGGGGGGAGGATGTTTCGCTGACGAAACTGATTTTCATTATGTTTTTTGATTCGCAGATACCGTTACGTAATTCAGTGGTCAACGTGTACGTATGTGCTAATTAATGTAAAAACCGGCAGAGCACTATTGGGGTTTCATAGAGGTGACATCTTGCGATGTTCGCCTACTAATTTTTCGTGCAGAATGCCTCATTTCACAATGAGATAATTCGTATTTCAACAGTATATCCTGCCAAGAAGTGAGTACAGCTTGGTGTGAATGTGTTTTTAGAATGTTTTATGCAGACATGAAATTATGGATGTTTTCTTATTTGTTTGAAACGAAATGGAATTTCGCTCAGTGAAAGTGTACACGTGTAAAGTTGATAGTCTTGTGTGCAGAGCATTTGATATAAAGTAGATATTTGACATGTATTTGATACATTGCTAAGAATAAGCTGTATATAAATATTAAAGGGCATTATTTTCAGGGTTTATTGTAGCACTCTTGTATTTACAATTTACAGGGAAAAGGCTGATTTGGTGGTTTATTTATGGTCGTTTTGATAGACTTTCAATTAATCATTGGTCTGAATTAAGACTAGCTTTTGGTATTGCACACGGAGCTTGTTGTTGGCTTTTCAACTACACTAGACCCTAAGTCTTACAAAAGGGAATTTTAGGATATCTGTTATATTCTGGTGAAGCTATTTTATGACATTCGATGAAGTCATTTAAAGGAATTTCTGTATGGGTTTTAGTATGAATATCAGTGACTTGAAAGTTATGTCACATTTGTTATGAAAGTCAATAGAAATCATTTGACCTTGTGTTGTCATTCATAAAACCTGAATGTTGAATAGGGGTATTTGTAGGAATATTATGAAACATATATAAGATGCCATTTTGGTCATATCTATATTTAAATTAGTGCCTAATTATTCACGAGAAAAGGGATATTCAGGCAGAATTGCATTTTCTGTTATAGAAGTTACATTTATACTTCAAACTGATATGAATGAGTCCAGTTGACTTATGTATTTATGAATTCTTCAATTTGTTCTTTCAGATTGAATAAAATCAGACTACGGTCTTATACGATTCCAAGCGGGATATTCTGTGTGGCTGAGTCATCTTTCTTACGAGCAATCCAGCTATGACTTTTCATATTCATGGTCTATATTCTGATTTTTCCTGATTTGGGGTTTGCAACTTTGCCTTTAACCAATCAAACCGTGTAATCCTATGTTCTAGGGTACTTATTTTGAAAAAGCTTATTCAGTCTTGCAAAATATCTAATAATATCAAACGAGAATTTATTTAGTTGAACGTGGGGCTGATACGGCACTACTCGCACCACACGTGCAGAGCCTCAATTTCCAAAAACATTCCAGGGACCAAATCAATATTTGTTCACAGACCTGAAAAAGTTTGAATGGATTGAAAGACACCACCTTTTAACATCAAGCAGATGTGCGGGGATAAGACAAAAGAACTGAAACGAGGTGATCAAAATAGGGAGGAGATATTGATTCAAATCGGTGACCGGAAAAAACAATTTCAAGGATAATAAATCTGAATTTGAAACAGACTACATAATTCCGAAAATGAAAAAGGTTTCGGTATTCCAAAGGTTCGCAATTCAGCAAAAAAATAGGCCAGCATCTAGGTTTAATGTTATTTTCTAAATTATGAACCTTCGGAATTGTAAATCATATTTGATTTCGGAATTATGAACCATATGATTGAATTAGAGATGTCTCATTTTGATTGATTTAAGTAATGAATATTTTTTATTATTATTCATCATAGTTATTAAACATTTACTTTTATCAGTTTCATATCAATTTGCAATGTCAATACATCAGTTTTACACGGAGAAGATATT